AAAATGGCCTTTATTCCTTTAGGACTATCAACATTATCTCCAGTTTACAGCCATGACAGAACAAAACATCCAAAAACCCATCTATTCTAGGTCCTAGGGAACCTATGTCTAAGTTAATTTACTTCATGACTATACCCTCTTATTCCAGAGAAGTATGCTATAGCTGAGGACTGTATATTCAGAAAACTTCACTAACTAATCATCTAGAGAGTATTCAAGACTAACTTTTCATCAGCCTCTTTCTCTCAACCTTGTACTACTAATTTTTTAAATAGAGATATAATGAGACAATCCAGTGGCCAAAGCATTTTGCCACCACAGTGATTATCATCAGGGCATCAAGGCAGCCCTCATCTGCTTTCTCATGGATAGCAGGGCCCTCTTCTCACCAAGCCTTACTTCCCACAGACACCATCTGCAACTGAGCGTAGAAATGTCATCAGTAAAAGCAAGTCTCAGGCTATGATGGGAGAGGATAAGTGAAGGTTGAGATTCCCTCTTTCCTAGACTAGTAAAAAACAAAAAACTTCTTGTACCCCACACAACATAAGTTAAAAGCTCCTTTCACAACTAACAATAAAAAAGCATGGTTATTTTGCGTTCTCCCTCATTTTTCACCCCAAAAGTTGAGGATCTGGAAGAGACATTTGTCTTCTGAATTGACTCTCCTTATCCTTCAAAACTGTGAAGTGGCCATCACTCTAAGTACTCTGACAAGTTAAGCAATCAATACCTCTGGTAAGGCCTGACACATGTGAGTTGGGTAGTGAGTAGGGAAAAGAGAGAAAAATAGTAAATCAGAAGAAGTAGAGATGGAGAGACAGCTGCATATGGTGAGTAGTAGAGTATCACTAGTAATTCCTTCAGGTGTCATACTTCCCCCAAAGTCTCAACCCTGGCTTGGAGTAAACTAACGTGAAAGTATTCCTAAGGCTGTGAGAAATGCTACACCTGGACAGTAAAATTAATCCAAATGTTCCAGGAATGTTCACCTTGCCCCTCAGGACAACCAGAGACGTAGCAGTTCCATCTCTGCCTTGGAATGGTTAAGTATTTTCTTGAGGAACTCTCTACTTCCACTCCACACACTTCAGGTGACTAAGTTGTGAATAGAGAAGTAACTCAATATCCCAAAACAGTCAACCTATGGGACAATCTTAAATAACAATGGAAATCCCAGTTCAGCACCAAAAATATTAACTTCCTTAAGGCATTAACCTTACCATACAATTAAGGATGCCTGTCTGGGAAAAGATAGTGCCGAACAAATTTAGGTACTGAACTGTATGGTTTCTAGTTAGAAACAGCCTTGGATGTGATAGGAATAAAAAAAGTCCAGTTACTAGTAGGTCCTCAGCCTTTAGGCCCAAAATTGAAAAGGTAGCCATTGCTATGAGTGGAAACAATATACTCTATTAGAGTATATTCTAAATTGAAGTTCACACTCCTAGTCATGAATTTGAAACATATAAAGACTGAAAAAAGAATTCTTTTTCTTTGGAGCGTAACCAGGAACACAGGATTCCAGGAATTGGAACAACCTTGAGCTCTCCATTCTCCTTCTGGATAAACATGGGACAGCACACAGGTAAGGGAACATACTTAGACTTTGGGGATTCAAAAGCAAGCTGACAACCCTCATTACCACCAGTTTTTGAAAATTCAATTTCTTCCTAATTTCTGGTGTACCCCGTAATTTTGTATAATTGCTAACCCCATTCATAATTTCCTGATACCTATATCTCCCCTCTTCCTTTCTGTCTCTTGATGGGTTTTATCTGCTCTCTGCCTACTTGTACCACAACTAGCAGGAATGCTACACATACTACAAGAAAAAAATTAGTTCTGTGTCCTAAACCATGAAAGAGAAGGGAGAGCAATTATCTCCTGAATTTTATAAATTCAGGGAGAGCAATTATCTCCTAGCAATTATCTCCTCAGTAAAGATTTTGGAGACGACAGGAATTTTAGCCTTACAAATAACTTTCTGGATTGGCAATGTATCCAGAAATCTCAACAGTGCTAGAAGACTAATTCCCATGCTGACCTTACTCATGGTAACATAGGACTGGTCAGAGGTGGTGGTGGTGATCCTGGTTTAAGAGACTATTCTTCAATCGAAACACCCTCTTACCAACTTCCCTGGATGACAGTTGAGCTCAAACCCACTTACCTCTCCCTTCAGGAGGAGTCAGGGTACATGAAGCTCAACTTTTTTGATAGCCCAGGACTGCCATTATTTGCGTAACTGTTTTCTACTTTTTAAAAAATGACATCTTACAGTTTTCCCCAACTTTTAAAATTTTCTTGTTCCTAGTCTTGGGTTTTGAAACACCTCTTTAAACCGTGAGGACTTTTATTTTGGTAGTTTATGAATCTGCAGTGATTCTGCGACAAAGAACCCCTAAGATAAAGTGGAGGGGGAAAAATGCCTTTCATACCTAATTGGGTTTGCTCAGAGGTAACAGATTAAGAAGTAAATGCAATGGAGCAAGTGATATAGTAACAGGAAATATTTAATTTTCCAATCTCCACTTTCCATTTTTATAAACTCAAAGAAAAAAATTAATATATTACAAAATATCTGTACACAGACAAGGTATACCCGATGGGGGGCAAAAACAGGAGAGAAAGGAATACAGTGTCAGGAACCTAAATCAGGGAGAATGAGGTGGCAACTGACACTTTTCTGATATAGCACTCTCTCTCAAAACCTGCTAGTAACCATTTTAGTACTGTAACTATATATGCATATTATATATATATGTATATATATATACACACACACGTATATACATATATATATATATATATACACACACACACACACACACAAGTGGTTGGATGATGTCTATGGCATAAGCTAACAGAAGTCCTACTTACAAATTTGTGCTAACTGCCTTGCTTTTAAACATATAGATCTGATGTCATTTTCAAATCCTTATCATTCCTATAGAAAGTTGAAAAAACTAAGGAAACTGGATCAAGCAAATTTGTTTTCAAAACCACAAAAATAACTACGGTCAAACCAGTTTTGCCTCATTCATGAACAGAATCAGATTTCTCATCTGTTCAAAATAATGTATTTAATGGACTTAATACCTCCCATGGTACAATACTTAAAACCACTTTTGAATATAATTATTTAAATTTATAGTTTTCTAATAGTCAAGTTGAAATTCTGCCAAACCTTTACTTCCATTATGTTTATAGATAACACAGCTGAAAAATTAACAAATACCTTTTCTTCCTCCACAGATTCCAGGATATTTAAGTGAGTTCCTTTTTTCCTCTGCTTTTAAAAATAGTCAAAATTACCAAACTTTTTTTTTTTCCCAAAGGTTAGACTCCCAAAATGGGGGTCTGGGGTTGAGATGGGATCATACACATACACACACACATACACTCACCCCCTTCCCTAGTAGCAGGGAATGATGGAGACATAAGCATATCATTTAGGATATTTGGCATAATTAAAAATAAGGGGTGATAAGGGGAAGAAAGAAGTATTATTGATGACTGCTGATAATCAAAATATAATTAAAATGTATAGAAAATTTTATTCATATTTGATGGGAAACCAATTTTTTTTTCCACTGAATATGTACTTCTGAGTTCTTTCATCAAAACTGGGAAAGTGTGGCTCAATGCCTCAAATTCAAATATTCTAAAATACAAAGGTCCATGTTTGAGGACTAAGAAGTCAACAGACAAAAGATTCAGATTCCATGGCCGGTGTGGCTCAGTTGGTTGGGCAATGTCCTGTGCACCAAAAGGTTGCCCCTTCGATTCCCAGTTAGGGCACATGCCCAGGTTGTGGACTCGATCCCCAGTTGGGGGTCGTGAAAGAGGCAGCCAATTGATGTTTCTCTTTCTCCCTCTCCCTTCCTCTCTAAACATCAATACAAAATCTTGAAGAAAAAAAAAAGTTTAGATGAACTTTAATGCAACATACCAATACCATGTCAGTGAACCTAGCAAATCTAATTGGACATATTGGTATAAAAAGCCATCAAAGCCAAAATGGCTAATAGGTTCTTTCTCATCAATGTTTGGCCCTGAGGGCAAGGCCAGACCAAAACCCAAAGAATAAAGAAATACACACACCAGGAATCTACCTATTTCGGTGACAGGGAAAAATAATCTTCATGTAAGTATCTGAAGAGGGTTCTTCTTTCATTTCTCTAAAGTTTTTTATTAGTGCATCTTTCTCTTACAAGTAGTCTTTAATTTTTTAATATAAGAACTTGGCATTGAAACATAAAACTTCACTTGAGTTCTGAAAACTATTCTTCAAGATGCTGAAGCACATTTGCCTTTTCTTTGTAAAAAAAGGAGCTAACCTACTTTTCACAAATGTCTAAGTCTGTGCAGATAATTTATATAAATGTGTATGTTCTTAAAACACATTATATGCTGGTACTCACATAGAAACAAAAGCCAGAATGAGAAGCCTCCCATTATCCCACCCTGAAAGCCTTTCCCTTTTCCATTTCCTCTTTATAATAAGGAAAAATACTTGCCATGAAATCATAATTTAATCCCTTTTACCAAAACCCTATCTCTCCAGAGGAAAATCCCTAAAAGAATTGGCAGGATATACATGCAGAGATGTGTATATGTCAATACTGTTCTTTCTTATGTTCTGCTCTTTCAAAAGTATTTTTTAAAAGGTCTTAGGTATTGAAATATCTTCAGAAAAATATCTACCCTAAACTAATTACATTCCCATGTATTTTCAGGATGTTTATTTTCTCTTTGACAATATTAAAATGCTCTGTTTCAAAGGTTTGGGGTTTGTTTTCTTTTACATAAAAATATATGTGTAAACAGTATGCTAACTGCTCTTTCTAGTCCTCTAGGTCTGAAGGCATCATCTCTAGTCCCAACTCAGCAGCAATGGCCTAGGCTGTCTGCATTTATAAATCAACTTCACCATCAGAACATGGTTTTAAAAAAACGAATAACATTTTAGAATTGAAGAGTTACAGAGAAAAAAGGAGTTTGAATTTCCTTTCCTTTATTTCAAAAAAGGTAAAGAATTATCCCAGGTTCTTGGGCATCTCAACGATTAATTTTTTTCCAAACAAATGCCTCAAAAAGAGACAAAGAAAACCTCTATGAAGATGGGGTAAAAAAGGAAAAAGATGGGATAAAGTCTACCTACTTGCCCAAGAATGCCACTTTCTACAACCTGCTTCTTATACAGGAAGAGGGGTCATGTCTTTTGCCAAAACAGAGCAAACCTTAAGGATGAGTAATTTATTTGGAAAAAAGGAATGTTAAAGATGCTCAATGGGGGAAAAAGAAGAGTTTACTTGAAAGCAAAATGTGAGGTGGTGGAGAGGAAGGAAACATTTATTTAAATCAGTCAGTCACTCTTTGCCCCGAACAGCAAAAGCCTAAGAGCAGCTCAAATTTTGTGAACACTATTCTTTCTTTAAAAAACAAAACAAAACAAAAAATCCAAAAAACTAAATTCAAAAGAACAAAACATAAAAAAATAATCCTCAAACTTTAAAAACCTAAAGAGCCTCTTCCTGGGCCATTTCAAAAACTGAAACTGTTCTCTTTTTCTTCTGCTCAAGATGTGCGGGCAATGAACTAATAAAGCATTTACTTTTCCATTTAATGACCCTCTCCAAATTCTCTACTTACATTTACTAGGTAGAGCTGAAGTAAATGTTCTGACTATAACCAACCCATCCAGGGGGAAATGCTGCCAACATCATTATTTTATGTCTCGTGCTTAGTAGCAAGTGAGCAAGGAATACAATGAATTAGCTTTGAAATAGCCAAATGCAGAAGATTACCTCGCTCTGGCAAATGATTTCATTAAAGGTTCAGAGGACTGGATGGAGGATGGACAGGGAAGGACTCTTTCGGACACTCAAGTCTCTGGGTTAGTAAGGAACTCCTCTCCCTCTTCCCCCTCTTGGCGGGACTCTTGTAGGCCCCCGATAGAGTTTTCCATAAGCAGAAGACTGAGCTGGGCCCCCCCAGTTAAGGCCTGCTCCTGAGCTGCTGGCTCCACTGGTTCCTGGCCCCAGCTCCCCAAAGTTTTGCAATTTGGTCTCTGCATGTGCCACAGAGTTGCTGCTTCCCTCGGCCTTCAGGAATGGTTGCCCGACCACTGAGTGTAATGCTAAGGGGACCCTGGCAAAACGGAGGTCCTGGTCCCCTGGAAACTGCACTGACCCTGTACCCTGGTAACTGCTGGACTCCCCAAGGTGGCTCACAGAGCCTGAGAAGGTCCTGTTCTTCACCAGGGTCTGGGCCAAGGATTCTGTCAAGGCTGGACCAGAGTTGCGTTCATCAGTGTCAGTGGCACTGAACCCTGTTTCAGGCCCATCAGTGTTTCCGTAAGTCCTGTTGGGATGGGGTCGGGTAGAGTATTCCATTGGTCTCAAGGCCTGGTGCTCATGTGGCAGGTGGCCAGGAGGCTCTGCTTCAGGCTGGGATAAAAGTTGCAGCAAGGCGGCTGTCACGGCTGGGTTCAACTCCTGGGGGACGCTGGAAAGATCGCCTTCAACCAGAGGGGGTGGAGGTGGCGGCGGTGGAGGTCCGGGGGGCTCAGGGGGCCTCTTCTCTGGTGGAAGAATGTGAGGAGGACATGCTGTGGAAGGGTTACTTCTTTTAACACCATCTTAAAAATCACATGTGATTATAAACACATACATACATACACACACTCACACACACACAAATACTACCCAACATAAACATATATCAATACAAGTAACCAAATATATATAAAGAATAAAATCTTGGGATCAGGAAATTTCAATTTATAAATAAAATCAAGTGATTAAAAGCAAAACAGTTGCATTCTGGATCTAACAGCTGTTGTAAAAAGATCATATGTTTCAAATATTTTTCTGATTTTTGTCTGAGATTTCCTCCATTTCCTTCTTTAAGGAACTGTTCTAATAATGTAGGCTGTTGGCAGCCTTCCTGCCCCTTTTTGCTGTTGAATCAAAACATTAATGAAAATAAAGTAGAAAGAAGGAAGATGAGAGGGAACAATATACATGCTGTGGTCACATTTCTAAGACATAATATTTGCTGTACAATGGAGACCTTGCATGGACTTAGCTAACACATTTTACAGAATGCTTAATAATAATGTTAACACCTGAAATAGAACTTAAGGAACATACAAGAGAGATGAAATAAAGTAAAAAACCTTTCATTATCATCATGTATAAATATACACTTGATTCTCCAAACTTCAGTCCCTCTCCCCATAACCACATTTTGAAGAATGGAATATTAACCACCATACTGTCATTCAGCTTCCTATGTTATAGTAATTATAAAGACTAAAGTAATCTATAACTTTCTTTTTTGTTTCCCAACCTCCTGCATTTTTTCCATGCTCTAAGAAAAATTACTATAGCAATGTCATGCAGAATGGGCTGTTGATAAACATCTGTTTATCTTGGAGACAGTGACAAGAACTGAGTATTTAGAAATGTATTAAACTAATATTATACTCTGTCTTTCCAAAGATCTTTGTCTTCCTAAACTCCCCAGACTTTTTCCCCCATTGCTGGCTAAATTTGCCCAAGAATGCCAATCACTGTCTGAAAATGAACTCCAGCCAAGACAGCAGGGTAGAGATACAAAATGGCATGAGTTTGAGAACATAAAAAAACCAAGTACAGTCAAAACAGTACATTTAGAGAGTTGGAAGTTACACTGCTGAAAAAAAGGCGTAATGTTTTGGGATATCTTCCAAATGATTGATTTTCCGTTTCGTATATTTTGAAATATACATATAGTCAATTCTTATTATCTGAGCTAGTAATATAAAGTCATTCCTCAGACAAGGAAAAAGTAGTTTTTAGTTATAATTAGATATTTTGGTAGCATATTTACCACAATTATATTTTGCAAAGATAAAAAAGTAAATATGAGCATGCAGATGAAAACACTACAAAATTGTGAAGTTATGCAGTGGAAGGATGAGGTCAGATGCTCTATGTAACATACAAATAAGGGCGACCAACAGTCCCAATTTACCGAGGACTGAGAGGGTTCCCAAATTGCCAGCTTTCACTTTTAAAATCAGGATTGCACAGAGACAAGCTGGTCACCCTATATACAGTACCTGCTCAAGTAACTTGTTGACACACTGGCTGGTTGACTAGGTGGTAGGAAAAATGAATTTAAGGACAAAAAAATTAGCTATGGAAAATTCACAACCTGAAAAGTAGACATCCTAAAAAAGGAGAGCTAACTGAACTACATACAAACATCTACAGACTTCAGAGATTTTTGCTGCCAATGCTACATATCTCACTACATAAAAACATCACAGTACTGATTAGTTTTTAAAGTATTTTTTGGACAATACATAAAACAGACACCAGGTTGTTGGTGGTGGGTTTTGTGTGTGTGTGTGTGTATGTGTTTATTTTTAATGCTGAGAGAAAATGACTTTAAAGATACCCAACTGCAAAAGTGAGCAAAACTAAACTTAAACTTTTCCAGATATACAACTATTCACATTTGAAGTTTGTCTTTTATGTAATTAGCCTCGTTGTTTCAATAATATAAAGTCATATTTTGAGCTCAAATTTTTTACATGTATGAGGATGAAAACTATTTCAAAGTAGCAAAAGCAGATTGATTGTAAAAAACTATTAAAGTAAGGTTAATAAAATTTTGTTTTTAATCCTCACCTGAGGACACGCTTTCATTGACTTAAGAGAGAGAAGAAGAGAGAGAGAGAGAGAGAGAGAGAGAGAGAGAGAGAGAGAGAGAAAAGAAATTTCAATTGGTTGCCTCCCATATGAACCTGTAACCTAGGCGCGTGCCCTGACCAGGAATCGAACCCACGACTTTTTGGTGTACAGGATGACACTCCAACCAACTAAGCCACCCAGCCAGGACTAATAAAACTTCTTAAAGGAATTAAAAATAAAGATCACATTTAAAATATCATACTGTTGTAAAATTTAGTGTTAACAATATTGCCAATCTTTAACAGTCTGTACTAATGGAAGGAGGTGTTAATGAAAGGTACAAATAACTTTAAAACTTTATTTGACTCATCAGTTTTCAACCATAACCCTTTCCCAACAAGTATAGAGACGCTAAACAGTAGCCAAAGTGATAGATTTTCACCTTCTGCAGCTTATTTAGTCTGCCCTCTGGTGGAAGAACTAATGAACAGTAAAATGGCCGCAAGAGGCAGCAGGGGAGGAACAACAGGAGAGACACAGGAGACACCAGCTGGTTAATCCAGGGGTGACTAATAATTAGGAGTGGCATTTTTATTCTCCTCTGAAAAGTAAATCCAACAATTTTTTACCATAGGCTAGGCCTTAATTTTGGTTCAATTTCATCAGTTAGCTGATAGCTTGTTGGCTCAATTATTGAGTGAATTTCTTTCAATCATTATGCTATTTAATTTGAACCATTTCTTTCAGGTATTTTGATTATAGCTATTTTTTCTTTTTCTTTTTTTTTCTTTTTTTGTGGGGGTATGAGAGATGATACAAAGAGGCCTCCTTTAATTCTAGTTTAGCTTTCTTTGTTATTTCATGTCCTGGAGTCAACTGAAATCAGATGACAGAATAGCAAAGTGAATTAAGAAACACATTAAAAGGGTACACAAGTTCTAAATTCTGGCTCTGCCAATAATATGGTTCCAGCAGTGGGACCATCAACAGGCTTTTTTTTTTCTTTTCTTTTTTTTAAATAAGCAGGCTAATTTAAATTTGTTGGATTGCAGTTTCCCTATCTGTAAAATATAAGGGCTAATTTTATTTATGTTATCTTCCAGTTTTAAAAAGCTTTACATATGAAAAGTAGCTTCTATATTTGACTCTATACCAGTGGAAATAAGGCATATACTTTCTGCACCATCCCATATGAAATGTGAATGCAGGACCCTGAAGTTGAAGGTTAGTGAATCTCTTCAACCCTTGTACCTCTTCTCATTCCCCAATTCATGGGCTCTTCATGGACAGCAAAAATTTCCAAGGAGTTGAAAACACTTTTAGATAAATAAAGATTTTGCAAACAGACTGAATCAGAATTGATCAGAACTTCTTTTCCTTCTAATAAAGTGCATGCTGTGGTCATGTGAGATCAAGGTATAACAAACGTATTTCCTTTTGTAAGTTTTTTTTTCCTTTATATAATGCTCATTTCCTAAGCTAAAATCCATTCAATTGTCTCTTTCAGAAACACATATTTTAAAGGAATCACTTTTATATGCTATTAATTTTTGAAAAATAAATGTATTGTGTTATCTATTTAGAAATATCCCAAAAAATAAATGTATGGTGTTATCTATTTAGAAATATTCCCAAATTATTCTTCATGAGATAACAATGACGTTTTATTAGGGTTTTCTTGAATAAATCTTCCAAGCAAGACTCTGGTATCCAGCATCCACTACACTAGAGTATCACTGCCTATTTGCACAATCTGATGGTTTGTTTGGAAGGCAGATTTTCAAGAGTTAGTTGGCCACCATATACACAGTAGTTCAAATACATCACGAGCTATGGTTGTGGTTTCTGTGGGTTAGAACACAGGGGCTTTACTTACCTACCTCCTAAGAAATGGAAAAACAATCAGTATATGAAAAGGTGCTTTGAAAAGCTTTGAGACTTAAATAAAAGAAGCCAGACAAGAAATACATCACTTGTTGGTATGTTCTCCTGTAGACTAGGTTACAGAAAAACTGAAACCGATGCCATTGATGTGAAAAAGAAAATGTTAAAGAGATTTTTAAGAGGATCAACAGCACCTGAGCTCAATGAGATTCATGACCGGTCTGTTTACCTGCTGCCTCCTCCTGTGGCATTGTGGGAGTTCTTCGGGGCCCCTGTAGCCCACTGTTCTTGTCACTGTTGTTTTCCTCCAGGTTGCCTGCTGGCTCCTGGGTTTTCATCAGCTGACTCAAGATAACTGCCAACATATTCTGCATGTCAGCTGGTGTGCTTGAAGCTTCAGGGGTCTTCTGTTCTGCTGAAGGCTGGACCACTGAAGCTGGGGGTGCCTCCTTCACAGATTCCTCTGGGGCCATGGGCTCTGAGTCCTGCTGCTGGGAAGTGGCTTCTGTTAGGGCACTGATAGATTGGTTCAGGGCCTCCAGCTGCTGCTGTATCTCAGGGTTGGAGTGGATGTTAAGCAGCTGTACCATTTGAGGGATGCTCAGGTCAGTTTGGCTCTGCAGCAGATTTAATAATACTGCCAATTCACTTTGATTCAATTGTTGTGTGATGTCACCAAGGCCTGTGGAGAGAGAGTGAATACAATATAAGAGGATGATGCAGGGCAAAGACCTCTGCATTCTTCAATTGGCAATAGCAACTTATAATATCCAGTGAATGAAATTTCATTAAAAATGTCTCATTTTTCATGCCTCAAATCGTCATGACACAATTTGCTATTCTTTTATTTTAATTTACTGACTTTAGAGAGAGGGAATAGGAGGAAGAGGAGGAGGGGAGAGAGGGAGAGAGAAACATGGATCTGCTACTCTACCCATCTATGCACTCATTGGTTGCATGTGCTCCATCTAGGAATGGAACCCACAACCTTGGGATGATACTCCAACTGAGCTACCCAGCCAGGGCCACATTTTGTTATTCTTTATATTATTGCTTAAAAATGCATGGACTCGCCCGGCTGGTGTGGATCAGTTGGTTGAGCGTCCCATGCACCAAGAGGTCACTAGTTCGATTCCCAGTCAGGGCACATGCCCGGGTTGCAGACTCAATCCCCAGTAGAAGGCGTGCAGGAGGCAGCCGATCAATGTTTCTATCTCTCCCTTCCTCTCTCTCTAAAAATCAATAAAAGCATTCTTTTTAAAGTTCTAAAAATAAATAAAAATTCATGGACTAACTCAAATATCTCTGTATTGTAAGTAAAAGTTATTTCATTTAGCCCTAACCGGTTTGGCTCAGTGGATAGAGCATCGGCCTGCAGACTGAAGGGTCGCAGGTTCGATTCCGGTCAAGGGCATGTACCTTGGTTGCGGGCACATCCTCAGTGGGGGGTGTGCAGGAGGCAGCTGATTGATGTTTCTCTCTCATCAATGTTTCTAACTCTCTATCCCTGTCCCTTCCTCTCTGTAAAAAATCAATAATATATATATATATATATATTTTAAAGTTATTTCATTTAACCTTTATTTATCCCTAGAAATCTGGCAATTATTCAGGGGTGTTTATTTTTAAAGCTTCCTGGATGATTCTAATGTGTAGTCAGCATTGAAAATTACTGTTGTAGGTGGACAGGGAAGGGAAAGTGAGCCAAGGAAAAAATATCTATAGTTCAGAAAAATTATTGTTCCCGCAGAAGAACTACTTTGTTATAATAGTTCATTATTATACAATTTTATATATATTTAAATCAGATAACAGTCTCCAGAACTAACTACATTTAGCAATTGTGACTTAACATCATTGGTTTCTAAGGTATTATCAAACCAAAATATACAGGGCTTCAAATTATGTTTTAGAGATCCATGGTGAACTAACCTTAAATTAAATTTGGCTCACCTAATTCACTGATTTATACCATACATCTAACTGAGATATAGTATTCCTTATTTCAGGAATAGAAAATACATCTATGGTAGTTCTAGACCACGGGTACAAAACTTGGTTTATCTCCTTTTCCCTATAATCAGACCACCAACCTCTTTATTAATGCTTCACTGACTAAAAATTAAAACACACACACATCCTTGCATTTAACCTTTAAAACCTGCCAAAATGTGCTTAAAAGAAGCACAAAGTCTCTATCCCAGCACTGACCTATTGTATCCCCAGCCACAGGCTCCACCTTGACAGGAGCAGGCTGTGGTGGTGCTGGGCTGTTGTTCTTCACAGGCTCAGCACCTGTCCCTGAGGTAGTTTCTTTTCGAGAGGCTTTGGATGGAGGTGGCTCTTCTACCACAACACCACTTTGTCGCTGCCGTCGCCGTTTCTTACTCCATAATTCATGACAATCCTGCCAGTGGGGGAGGCTGAAAAAAGACAAAGCAAAGGGGAAATGTGTGTGGGAATGTGGCAGTGAGTAAACCGAAGAAAGAGGGATTAAAATGGGACGGCAAAGAGCAGTGGGAAATGGAAAGAATAAGGAAACCATAAAAATAACCAGAGAAGTTAGTAAATAAATAGTAATAGTGTAAAAGGAATCATGGCATATAATAATCTGAGGAAGTAGAAGTCCAAAAGCCTAAAAGACTTCTACAGTGAGAAATGAGGATTTTGCTAATATCAGAGACACACCTGCTATAAAAATGCTCATACTCCTGCCAAGTAGTTAAGTCTTATAGTTCTTGCTTGATATAACAAGAATAAAAGAGAACTTTATTGGTCAAGTTTCAGTTGGGAATAAATAGCACGGAGATGACTGGCTTGTTAATAGCTACAAAGAGTCCAGGCAAAGTGGTGATTTAAATTTTGGAATAACATAAGCATATCATGATGAAATCCCCTCTGTGTAAAATCAATTTATGTGTTACTTGGTCTGTGAAGATAAAAACAAAACAAAACTTCTTCTTTCTGCCCACTGAATTTCCATTACTGGATATTTTCATTTATAGGGTTTATTAAAATATTTTAATATATTTTCAGACTTTCCCATGATAATGCAAACAGTCCTAGTAGGTCAAATCTTACTACAATAAGGATTACCATAACCAAAAATCTCTCTATTGCAAGAGTCCCCAAATTTCAGTAAAATGCTTTATGTATTTCAATCAATATTTATGTATCAAAATTTTAGTGCAGTAAATTTCTTTGGAACAATCAGATTTGTAGTTAGTACCTACTCATGTACTAACATTCCATTCATTTCTTTAAGGTAGTCTTTCTGTAAAGAAGAAATGTCCAAAAATGCTGTCAGTGATAAATGTGAAGAGACTTATTTGCCAGAATGTGATATGTGACTGTAGAACTCTGAGGATCTTGGAGAATAAGGAAATTCATAAAAGTCTAATGAAAGAGAGACACCTTCAAAGACCGCATTTTCTAAACTCAGGACATCTGACCTGACAGTGATACAAACTTAAAATTAGCACTGTCCTTGTAAGTGTGGAATATACATGGAATATTTAAAATTAGCACTGTCCTTGTAAGTGTGGAATATACATGGTCACCATAGACATAGGGGATTCAAGCAGATGGAATAGTTAATAGCAAAAACTAGGAGAAATATGTTCAAAGAGGCTCTATATGAAAATATGCTGGGATCCAGGAACACAAGATAGCTTGAGTCAAATTAGAACAAATATCCTATCTAAATCTATGCCTTGTTTTTTAAAAAACACACAACATAGAGCAATAAAAGCTCTTATCAGTCATAACCCTATTTGAGGATACCGCTCCATTTGGCATAGGACCATTTGCAGTTCCTCTTAAATGTCTATTACTTTGAGTTTCTCATCTCCTAGTCTTGGGAAGGAGGTTTAAGGTCACTACATGGAGGATCCATCAGCACTTACTCTGGAGGATCCATTTTGCTGGGGTCGACATCTTTAAGGAAGTCACTCTGTAGGGTCTGCTCAGCTGTGCAACGTTTGCTAGGATCTAGTGTCAGCATGTGGTCCAGTAAATCAAGTGCTGCTGAAGGAATGCTGTGGGAAGGAAGAGAGAAAGGACAAGTTCACAACAACCACATAATTATTGAACCTGTAACCTTGTGTCAAAGGCTCTGAATTTCCAGTTTCACATAAAACTGTGGAAAGGGAGTTGGAAGGTGGCTAGACAAGCAATCAGGTTTTTTTCCACACAAGATTTTTTTTTAACATATTTTTATTGATTTCAGAGAGGAAGGGAGGAGAGAGAGGAAGGAAGGAGAGAGAGGAAGGGAGAGGGAGAGAGATAGAAACATCAATGATGAGAGAGAATCATTGATTAGCTGCCTTCTACACACCCTACAATGGGGACCAAGCATGTGCCCTTGACTGGAATCGAACCTGGGACCCTTTAGTCCGCAGGTCGATGCTTTATCCACTGAGCCAAACCGGCTAGGGCTCCACACAGGATTTAAGTGCTATAACAGGTTAGAAAACATGAAACCAGCAATTACATTCTCTTTTTGTCTTGGTAAGATCAAAAAGACTGAAAAAATATATATAATGTTCAAAATAAAATGGTTTTCTATCATCTAAAGCAGTGGTTCTCAACCTTCCTAATGCCGCGACCCTTTAATACAGTTCCTCATGTGGTGGTGATCCCCAATTTCATTGTTACAAATTGAACCTAATTAAAGCATAGTGATTAATCACAAAAACAATATGTAATTATATATGTGTTTTCCGATGGTCTTAGGCGACCCCTGTGAAAGGGTCGTTCGACCCCCAAAGGCGTCACAACCCACAGGTTGAGAACCGCTGAAAAGCCTTCAAAAGAGAAAATTACCAAAAGGCTGTGACAGAACTTCGTTAAAAATAAAATGCTTTCCTATGATGTGTTGCCATAATAAATTGGGACAACACTAACTCCCTAGGCCAGGAAAAAGCCAAGTCCAAACCAAACACCAATCAAACATAGAAAACAGATGCACATTTTTGCCAAACTCACAAAGAGAATTCTTCTCGTAGACGCCTTCTATATTGCTTCTTCGGTTTCATGGTATTGAAGTAAGGCAGCTTGATAACATCAGGCCACACAGCTGGACAAGGGCTACCACAGAGTCGACTGAAAACAAAGCAGAAAGCAAGAACAAGGAAGTAAGTGCGTCAGCATCATGAATTCTGGAGATTCTAGAAGCAGAAACGATTACCTCCCAAGAGCTTATTAAATTAGAGGGCATGCAGAAAGAAAAACCTGGCCTCACTGCTTTAAGGACAAAAGGAATAGGACAGAAAGAATTGGTTACAAGATAATGAAGAGAAAATACTGGCACAACTACCTAAAATAATCCACAACATATTTGGTTTCATAAACATGTTTTAAATCCTCCACAGAGGTTTTCAGTACCAATTTTGTTCAGTTCAGTTAGTGTTAATTACAAAAGGCTGAGCTGGTCCTAAAATGTCCATATAAGAAAAACTGGCAGAAGAGAGCCCAAGACTGAAAATTTTAATGGAAAATTGAGTTTACTTCATAACAAATAATAAGTTATATACCACCTTTTAAAAAGTTTACATTAGCCTGCTATATTCTTTCCTTTAACTTTATTGAATAAAACAATCCAAATTCTATCCCAATCCCAGGTCTTCCTGAAACCCTCTATTACAGGTTCTATTTCATAATTATCTGTTTACATGTTTTATCACTTATTAAACTCTGAGCTTTTTGAAGGCAGGGACCTATCTTATTTATCTCTGAATCCTAAAGTTTAACAGAGAAAGGAAATTATTACAAAACAGATTCAATAAAATGTGTGCTAAATAAATTTGATCTTAATTACCCTAAGAATGAAATAACTATCCTAAAAATGGCATGCTTTTACATGAAGAATAAAAAACATGCAAAGTAAGACCTAAAGAGTAGGTGGAATACAACTTCTTTACATATAGAGCACATGACAAAATATATGGTAAACCTGATTGAGTGAAGAGAAACTTACTTGGACATAAGGAGCATAAAATCATTTAATAAAATAACTGAAAAGTGTTAGGAATTAGAGGATGTGATCACCTATCACACCTGGACACTCAGAGCACATGCACAGCTGTACCTGATCAGTTCTAGCTGCGCCAGCTCCAGATTAGCTTGAAAAATAGGCTTCTTTGTGAACAGTTCCCCAAGGATGCATCTAGAAAGAGTAAAACTGAGAGGTCAGAAGAGAAATCCCTGGAAGCTATTTATAGTGTGTCTCAATAAACTTTTATGGTATATATACCAGGTTGTAAATTAGCCCTAAACTGCAGTGTCTGAGTTGCATAAAAGAAAATATTTCTTGCACTAAAACTAGACAGTATAAAGGATTTAAATTTACCAGCAGGTTAAAAAAAACCCTTGCCACCTATAAAGGACAGCCTATATATTAGCAGAGAAAGAGAGTCAAGAGTCCTTTCCTTAAAAAAAATAAAAAATTAAAAAATAAAAGAGTCCCTTTATAACACTTCCATTGTAAATTAAGAAAATAAGACTAAAAACCCCACACTTCAATTTTACAAGGATGCTCAGCAGTTCCTATAAAGAGAATATGTATTAGCGTTGTTCATTTATCTGTTCTATGGAATGTGCCCTATACCAGCGGTCGCCAACCGGTGGTCCATGGACCACTGGTGGTCTGTGAGGTCCAAAAGGTTGGTGACCGCTGCCCTATACTATAGTCCTCTTAGCACTATTTGTTGTTTTTTTTTTAAAAAAGGTTATTGTCATAAGCCAAGATCAGTTTCAATAAGACTCTTAGATACAATATGCTTAAATACCTTTATCATTTTGAAAAAGCCTTTCAAAACTAGATTGACATATTTACAATCTCCAAATATCTCTCCACAAATTTATTACTATACTAATAACTAGAAAAATTAAACATAATAAAAATTATTATTTATTACAACATGAAAAATAATAACTATTTTGTGGTGGGAGGCAGACAACACCTTAACCAAATGACCAAAATTAACATCACTAATAAGAAGCAAACAAATGTGATACTTGAAAAGAACACGTATGGAGTATTCCAGCCAAAAATTCATAACCTGAAGCTATTGAGTAACTAGTCTTGTATTCTTAAAAAATGTAAATGTCATGAAGGACAAAGAAATATTAAAGAATTGTTCCAGATTAAATAATAACAACTGGATACTGGATTGGATCCTCTTATCAGGTAAGGTATTGTTTCCAGAACATTGTTGACAAAATGAGGATATGAAATGTAAGCTAAAGCACTCTATTAAATATAGTGTATCTAACAATGTTAAATTCTCTGAATTTGATAATTGTACTGTGATTATCCTATATAACAGCGGTTCTCAACCTGTGGGTTGTGACCCCTTTGGGGGTCGAATGACCCTTTCACAGGGGTCACTAAGACCATCGGAAAACACATATATAATTACATATTGTTTTTGTGATTAATCACTATGCTTTAATTATGTTCAATTTGTAACAATGAAAATACATCCTGCATATCAGATAATTACATTACGATTCATAACAGCAGCAAAATTACAGTTATGAAGTAGCAACGAAAATAATTTTATGGTTGGGGGTTACCACCACATGAGGAACTGTATTAAAGGGTCGCGGCATTAGGAAGGTTGAGAACCACTGCTATATAATAAAAAGGTAAGATGCAAATTGACCCCAATGGCAGAACGACCAGGAACGACCAGTCGCTATGATGCGCACTGACCACCAGGGGGCAGATGCTCAATGCAGGAGCTGCCCCCTGGTGGTCAGTGCACTTCCACAAGGGGAGTGCCTCTCAGCCAGCAGCTGGCTCATGGCTGGCCAGCGCAGCAGTGGTGGCAGGAGCCTCTCCTGCCTCCGCGGCTGCGCTAAGGAAGTCCAACTAATGGTGGGGAGCGGGCCTAAGCTGTTAGTCAGACATCCCCCGAGGGCTCCTGGGCTGCCAGAGGGATGTCTGACTGCCAAATAGGCCCTGATCCCCCGGGGAGCAGGCCTAAGCCAGCAGGTGGACATCCCCCAAGGGGTCCCGGAGTGTGAGAGGGCACAGGCCAGGATGAGAGACCACCCCCCTGAGTGCATGAATTATCATGCACTGGGCCTCTGGTTTAAGAGAATATCTTTGTTCTTAGGAAATGTACATTAAATATTAAGAGGGAAAGGAGCATGATATATACAACTATTTTCAAATAGTTCTGGAAAAAAATGCAGTATATTTATAAACACATTTTATTCTATGTATATATTATATATATGTATATACATCATACATGCAAATGTGGCAAGATGTTAAAAATTAGTGACTCTAATATGAATGAATCTCAATATAATTATGCTGAGTAAAAGATGCAAGAGGAAAAAAGAGCATACATTGTATGATTCCATTTGTATAAAATTCTAGAAATGGAAATCAATCAATAGTGATAGAAAGCCGAACAGTGATTGCCTAGGAATGGGATGGTGGGGACAGGAGAGAGATTACATGGAAACTTTTGGAGGTGATATAAACTTTTGATGGTTTCACTGGTATACAATATGTCTAATTTAAATATATACATTTTATTATACACTTCAATTAAAAGGTGAAAAAATTTTAACGAATCTAAACAAAGGCTATAGTAAAGTTCTTTGTACTGTTCTAGTAACTTTTCTGTACATTTGAAATTATTTCAAAATAAACTTAAAAACAAATGGAAAAATTTATATAAATACTTTATACTTTTTTGTATGTGTGAAATACTTCATTTTTTTAAAAGTGGGAGCCCTGGCCAGGTGGGTCAGTTGGTTGAGCAACGTCCCATGCATCAAAAGGTCGCAGTTTCAATTCCCGGTCAGGGCACATGCCCAGGTTGCGGGCTCAATTCCCAATAGGGTGCATGCAGGAGGCAGCTGATCAATGTTTCCCTCTCCCTTCCTCTCTCTGAATCAATAAAAACATATTTTAAAAAAGAATCTTTTCTCTAGTATGTGCGTTGAAATGAGATTTATTCAAAAATACTCACAAAACCAATGTTTACATAGTTTCACTTTAAAATTATCTGGCTTGATTAAATTTGAGAAAGCAAAACAAACCTAGCTCTTAAAGTTATTAGTACCTTTCTATTTGTATTTGTTAACCTCAAATGACAAATTCTTACGAACCTTATCAAGAGATAAAAAAGTAAAATAAAATTTAATTATGTTTCTAACATTAATTGCCAAATCAAATTCCAAATACAGTGCTGTCACAACTGATAAAATAAAAGGCTGAAGGAAAAAGCAAACAAACAAACCCAGCTGTGTTTTCAGACTCTAGGTATAATTTGTTGTACTAGTCTTTCTAGTTTCTCCCCAGAATTTCAAATTGAACTGCTCTAGTGAGTCTCTGAAAAGAGCATTCTACAAAAGTATCTTCAGAGAAGACTACCATGGATCACCAAAGTAGTAAGCTCACAAAAGTCAAATAAAATCTCAGTTCAATGAGTCACTGGGCTTTAAAGAAAGTCTAATTTTCTATAATTTTAATTTCAAATTTTGTTTTTGTGGCTTTTTAAATTTCAGTTTCCAGTTCTTTGGTGGGGAAAACATCACTATGTATCCAACACTTTGCTACTACACTAACGTGGCAGGTTGCAGAGACTAAAATAATAGTACGGAAAGAGCTATGAACTGCCCGCGCCCCCCCCCCCCCCCCCCCCCCCAATCTTAACGGAATGGGAAGTTACCTTTAGAGTCTAGTTGTGACAATTTAAATGCTAATACTGTTAAAGCAAATAGTCCAGAACACAGACATACCCAGCTTGAATCAGTATATTTAACTAAAGCTTCATTTGATCTGAGTAAGCTACCACAGAAATTATATTCTCTTTCTCCCTCACCCTTTTGAATTTTGAAATAAAACCCTTGCAATGCTCCTTTTAAAGAATGAAATAAAAGGAAAAAATGGGGAAAAGTGTTATGGTCCACTGTAAGTATGTATGTCAAAATCCTAAAGCATTCAGGTCAAGGACAGTGGTATGTATGCATAAGTCATACAGCATAAGAAACAATTAATGAACATGGGCCATGTAAAATGTCTATTCCTCTCACAAACAAACTGTAAATATTATTTTCAATGAAAAGGAACTAAGACTATTTAGAGAAATGGCTGATACGAGGTCTGGGGAAGGAAATAAATAGGATGAGCCTGGGACCAGAAAACAAGGAAGGCTATCAAAGACTACTATGAATGTATCAAAAAGACTCAAGAATTAACCTGAATAAACTCCCTAAAGACTGGACAGTTTGAACAGGAATAAGGATGATAACTATAATGGATTAACACATATCAAATATGTTTAATCCCATGAGTTCGTAATGAAACTAAAAAACAAGCCCCTCAAGCCCTCTCTTTGGTTATCTTTAGAGAATGCTAGAAAACCACCTCTTTATCTTGAAAATGGTAAATAAAAGAATTAAACCTTTATCCCTACCTTTTCCATATCATTTGTACCTAAGGTTAGCCAAATAGATATGTTATCTTTATTCCAGAAAGGAATGATATAATTAGAATATCACCATCACAAAACAACCACAAATGAACTAATGGATGTGGATCATTAACAGCTGATAACATTTCAAAAAGAGAAAATTATATGTTATGTAAAGTGGTGTATATTTGTGTGTAAATCTACCCTGGTAGGAATAAATATTTTACCAGAATTGCCTATATAAGGTGATAATAAAAAGCAGACTAGCCCTAGCTGGTTTGGCTAAGTGGATAGAGCATAGGCCTGCAGACTGAAGGGTCCCAGGTTCAATTCCAGTCAAGGGCACATGCCCAGGTTGCAGGCTCAATCCCCAGTAGGGGGCGGGCAGAAAGCCAATCAATGATCCTCTCTCATCATTGACATTTCTATCTCTCTCTCCCTCTCCCTTCCTCTCTGAAATCAATAAAAAAAAAATAGTCGTTCTTTTTTTAAAAAAGGGCAGACTAATCTGTAGTGGATTATTTTGCTGTTTTCAAATTTTTACAGATAACGTACATAGTTATTGCCTGTCCTCTGGGCAGAGGCTCTCACTGCCCCCCTCCCCCCACCGCAACTCTCATATACCATTTTGATAATCTGTCAGAAGTACTCAAAACCACCTGCAAAGTAGTTTCAAGGTCAGTGGGTGATTGGGAATCAAACCTAAATTCACTACAATATACAGAAAATGAAAGGAATAGAGAACCATGTCAAAAACAAACAAACAGCACAAGAATGCAATCAGTAAAATCCAGACTGTGGGAAACTGTATAGAATAAATGACCCAGTTTCTTCTAAGGAAATTGTCAAGGAGATAAGGGGACTCAAGATAGATAGAGGGAGAATCTATAATTAAAAGACTTGAGATAAGCAATTGCAATCTATGAATCTGATTTGACTGTATATGGATCCCAATTCAAACTAAGTTAAAATAAAAAGACAATTGATGAAATGTTTAAAAAGTATCTCTGAGCCAACCATCTTTTTCTTGGGGTTGTGCTACTGTCCAATGAACGACTAGTGAGGGCAGTCCAAAAAAATAAAATAAAATAAATAAATAAATGAAAAGTAGCTCTGATATTAAGAAATATTCAACAACAGATTTCTCTGAAATTTGGCTAAAAGTTTATCCCCATCCTTTTAAACTAAAAAAAAAAAAAAAAAAAAAAAAAAAAAGCTACAAAAATCAATGTAGAGCGAGAACAAGATACAAGTTCAACAATACGTGAGTTACAAAGAAAAGAAAAAGTAAAGGGAGCCTTACCCACAGCTCCAAACATCTATGGCTGGTGTGTAACGCTCCTCTCCCAGCAGAAGTTCTGGAGGTCGGTACCACAGAGTAATGACTTTGTTTGTATAAGGGCGACTGAAATGTAAAAAACAATCATGACATAAATTTACAATAGCTTCTGATATAAAATACTTGTACAATTAAATGCAAATAGAAATAGCTGCCAATTGAAGTTGGGACTATCAAAACAACTCCACAGCAACTTAATAGTTCAAAAGTAGAAGTTGGGTTGATTTATTTTAGTTTAAGGCTGATCCAAGAACTTAAGATAGAATTTACTTTCTATAACCTAGGTAGTAATACATTTAGAAAATTAGGGAACTCTGACAGTTATTGCAACTTGCAGGATACTAGAATATCCAAGAATAAAAAGCATTATTTCCCACATGTAATTTTGTTAAATGTCTCACCTCTCTTCAGAGTTATAGAGCCGAGCAAGTCCAAAATCTGCTAGCTTGATTTGCCCACTGTAAAACAAAATCAATTATTTTCATAACTAACAGCAATAATCTCCAAATTATACCTAAAAAGTTAACTGTTAATTTAGGAGTTAGAGGATTTACAAAAATTGATTTTAATCTCTGCTTTTAACCTGCTTTCCCAGGTTAAGTCTCTTTTGATTACTCCAGTAACCTTAGGGTTACTAAGCCTTGGGGCTTTTTTGGGGGGAAAACTACTAATTTTTGGATTTGACTCAACTAAATATTTCCTTCATGTCTTGGCAAACAGTGGCTAGACCAACCGTGGGCAAACTATGGCCCGAGGGCCGGATCCGGCCCGTTTGAAATGAATAAAACTAAAAAAAAAAAAGACCGTACCCTTTTATGCAATGATGTTTTCTTTGAATTCATATTAGTTCACACAAACACTCCATCCATGCTTTTGTTCTGGCCCTCCGGTCCAGTTTAAGAACCCATTGTGGCCCTCGAGTCAAAAAGTTTGCCCACCCCTGGGCTAGACCCTCATGATTAAATACTTATTATAGGGGGGAGAAATGGCTGTTCTAGATTAAGAGAGATTTAAGAGGCCTAACAATTAAATCCAACTCAAAATCCAAACTAAGTATACAAAAGATATTTTTGACATAACTGAAAAAATATATGGATTGAGTGTTAGAAGATAATCTATATATATAAAAGCCTAAGTGACCGTTATGACTGGATGACGACACAACTGAATGAACGGTTGGTAGCTATGATGCGCACTGAACATCAGGGGGCAGATGCTCAACACAGAAGCTGCCCCCTCGTGGTCAGTGCACTCCCACCCCCAACCTCCCATGGTTCCCTCCACCCCGCCCGCTGGTCGGCCCTGATTGGCCCCGATAGCCAGCCAGGTCAAGGGACCCCACCCGTGCACAAATTCGTGCAACGGGCCTCTAGTAGGTAATAATTAATTTTGTATTTAGGGTCAAATGTAATGATGTCTGTAATTTGCTTTAAAATAACTCAAACAGAGTCCAGCCTGCGTGGCTCAGTGGTTGAGCATCGACCTATGAACCAGGAGGTCAGGGTTCAATTCCCAGCCAGGGTGCATGCCTGGGTTTTGGGGCTCGACCCCCAGTGTGGGGCACGTGCAGGAGGCAGCCAACCAATGATTCTCTCTCATCATTGATGTTTCTCTCTCTCTCTCCCTCTCCCTTTGTCTCTAAAATCAATAAAAATATATTTTAAAACAAAATAACTTAAGCAGAAAAATAAAAGCAACGATAATAAAATGTTAATTGTATATGTAATTAATTATATTAGTCTCAACTTTTTCTTGTAATTTGACTTTTTCATAATAAAAAGTAAACACTGTGGCTATCACAGATTTTTTTCAAACAGGGACGATAGCTTTGATCTGAGCTAACAATTTTTATGATGAATGAGGCCTTCTACCAACATATTACCATCACTTCCTAGAACATCTATATATATATATATAAAAGGCTAATATGCAAAGTGTCCCCTCAGGAGTTCGACCGAGAGATTGGGAGTTCGATCACTCGCTATGATGTGCGCTGACCACGAGGGTACAGCAGGGAACGAAGGAAGGCCCCAGTCAGCAGCCAGAAGGCCCCAATCAGTCCTGATCGCCAGCCAGGCCTAGGGACCCTACCTGTGCATGAATTTCATGCACTGGGCCTCTAGTAATGATATACAACTGTGACCTAAGAGGGGTTTTCAAACTGTAATATGAAATAAAAATCACTTGGAAAGCTTATTAAAAGTATCCTGGGACCTACTGCCAGAGAAGCTGATTCAGTAGGTCATAGCCCCAAAATAAGAATTTCTAGCAAGCCCACAGTTATATGCAAGTACTGTGGGCTTAGACTTTCCATTAGCAAAAAAATTAGGACTCACTAAAGGCTCAATTGATGGTTAGCATTTTTTAGCAACAAAGTATTTTTAAAATTCAGTTATGTACATTTTTTTGACATAATGCTATTGCACTCTCAACGGACTATAGTGTAAACATAACTTTTATATGCACTGGGAAACTAAAAAATTTGTATGATTCACTTTACTGTGATATTTGCTTTATTGTGGTGATCTGGTACCAAACTAGCAAAATCTCCAAAGTATGCCTGTAACAACAAAATTTTACATTAAATCAACTCTAATCATTTCTAGTAAAGATTATGGGCATCTTACATACTTGCTCCAAACATCATTACATTTTAAAGGTCAATTTATAACCAAATTCTGAGAAAAGCAAAATGGGAAGGAATAGCTGACATGAGTTTTATTTTTAGTTTTTTTATTTTTTATTGATTTTTCACAGAGAGGAAGGGAGAGGGATAGAGAGTTAGAAACATCGATGAGAGAGGAACATCGATCAGCTGCCTCCTGCACACTTGCCACTGGAGATGTGCCCACAACCAAGGTACATGCCCTTGGCCAGAATCGAACCTGGGACCTTTCAGTCCGCAGGCCAACACTCTATCCACCGAGCCAAACTGGTTAGGGCTGACATGAGTTTTATAATGAGACAAAAAGGGTTCCTCAAATTTCTTGGCATCTTACTCTGAGAGCCTGAGATGGTCCACGACTCAAGGCACATAGTAGACTAAAAGTTAAAATGGCAATAGACATAGTTATGGAAAAATAGGCCAGACCTAAATATCACCAGCACCTAATCCACCCCTTCCCACTACTCTCAGTAAATGACCTTCATTGAAAATAGAAGCCATATGTTACCTATAAACTTTTTGTACCTATAACCTTCTTCCCCTTCCTTTAACTACAGAACAAGTTTGGCAATCTCTTCTCCTGTTGAAGGCTAATCAACACCTACATTTGTGGCTACTACCACCTGTGGCTTTAATCCCAACTCCTCTAGACCCTCCCTCCTTTAAATTGTTCTGAATCTTTCCTGAATCTTCAACTTTTATTGATTTTCTATTCCATTAGCATTTAAATATACTCAAACCTCTGTATCATTAAATATAAAATTAAAGACACATCTACCATCACCTTCCTATTAATTGTCTTACCCATCCACTTACCCCACAGTCACCACTGACCTTTTAATTTTCACATTCTTGTAAGTCTTATAATCTGTCTATATCATTAGACATCTATGGCCACTCACTTCTTAAACTTGCCTATTTTGCATTCGTGATATACTTTATTTTCTTCCTCTTTCTTTGCCCATTCCCTTGGGTTCTATCTTCTGACATTTTTTCTATGCTTGGTAACTCCTGAATCCATGTATACTGCTAGTTTGGAACTCCCACATGACTTACTAGCCCTGCTCTCCTCCCTCTCTTATCAACTGCTTTCTCTTTCTTCTCCAGCTGAGGTCTCCTTACCATTCTCTCCAGGTAATATCACCCAGAAGTCTCTGTGTAGACAGAATTAAATGGGAAGAGCAAAAGCTACATATAGCTAGACTATGAGACTCCTACATCCCACCTAGCTTCCTGAATTTCCTGATTGTGGGAAATCAGGAACAGGGAGGGGCCTGACCCACCAACCAGAAAAGACACTGAGCAGGATTGTAGTTATTCCCTTGCCTGAAACATCCCCCATGGAGGAGCAAAAGGAACAGAAGAAAGAATGATAATACTACAGTCCAGAAAGCTGCAAGCCGATAACCATCAAGTTCTTGAAACATTACGACTGTAGATGTAAATTAACTATGCCCAGCTTTAATGAGAATTCTGGGTCATAGAGATAGCAACAGAAAGAAATAATCTCTTAACACCATGTTTTGTCTCAAAAAGTTATTTAAGTACAAATATATGCAGTTTATATATTTTTTAACTTAAAATAATGCATTAATTTTATAATTTAAAAACAAAGAATTAACTGAACCAACATCCTTCAGTGGCTGTCACTTATGAAGTTTAACCTCCTTAGCGACTTATACTAGATCCTTAAATTGGTTCTTGCAACTGTCCAGCTTTACCCTAGCAATACTGATTTTTTCATTTTCCAGACATGCTATGTTATTTTCACATTCATGTGCTTTTGTCAATGCAATTTATTTTGCCTAGAAACTCGGCCCTCTGTTGTCAGTCTTCCTGATAAATTCCCATTCATTCCTCTATACTGCATCTCCCCAGGTGCTCCCAAATTCAAGGAATAAAATGGCTTAATAAAAAGTTTATTGAATTGAGCAATTTATTTGTTTAGCTTCCCTACTAAACTCGGAGCTCTCCAGTGACCAACCAACCACCCTATGTAGGACTTTCAGCACTGAAACCAGGACAGTCCTGGGTAACCCTGCATGGTTGGTCACCCCACTCCACAAAGACCAAAAAATGTCAGAATCATTTCATATTGCTATGTATGTTTGTCAAATTTTTAAACAGAAATGTTGAAAACAATGAGTGAATCTGCCCGACCGGTGTGGCTCAGTGGTTGAGCATAGACCTATGAACCTGAAAGTCACGGGTCTAATTCCCAGTCAGGGCACATACCCAGGCGGTGGGCTTGAACCCCAGTGTGGCGCGTGCAGGAGGCAGCAGATCAATGATTCTCTCTCATCAATGATGTTTCCATCTTTCTCTCCCTCTCCATTCCTCTCTGAAATTAATAAAAATATTTTTTAAAAACAAACAAAAATACAATGAGTGAATCAGACAAAGGTGGCTGTAAACAGCCCAATTTCCTAAAGAAACAAATACTGGCCTGATTTTAATAGTGTCAAACTTGCTTTTTATTCCTCAATAGATAGGACTATCACCAATGACAACTGTGCATAATACATCTGATATTACCAATGGAATTTAGGCAAACAGCCAGAGAGGAAGAAAGTAGATGATAAAAACTTCTGAAGAGCCCAGCCAGAGTGGCTCAGTGGTTGAGCATCAACCTATGAACCAGGAAGTAACGGTTAGATTCCCAGTCAGGGCACATGCCCGGATTGCTGGCTCGATCTCCAGTAGGGGGCATGCAGGAAGCAGCCAATCAATGATTCTCTCTCATAATTGATTTCTATCTCCTCCTCCCTTCCCTTCCTCTCTAAAATCAATTAAAAAATATTTTTTAAATTAAAAAAAAAAAAAGAACTCAATGTATGTTTGAATATTATTTACTAACTATGGCAAAAACTCTCTGAATAGTCCTATAGGATATGATCTGATTCCCTTAAATGTTTGCAATTTACAATCCTACCTCTGTTAATTCCTTATCAACACTGAGTCTGGAGACTGCAGATCAGGATACCCCTATTATAAGTTGTTCCTAAGGTACAAACACCAGATGTGTATGTAAACGCAAAAAACTGTATTATTGGCTCTACCTATAACCCCAACTAATTTAAACTAAGGGGCTCAGAAGGGAAAAAATGCTTAACCTCATTTAGTTTTACTATATTACCTGTTGTTCAGCAAAATGTTAGAACATTTAATATCCCGATGCAGGAAATTCTTTTTGTGACAGTAATCCAATCCTTCCATTAGTTGTTTCATGAATGACTTGATATGATCCTCAGAAAAGTGCACCAAACCAGATTCTAGCAGTCCCATTAAGTCATGGTCCATATACTCAAATACAAGATAAAAGGCACCTACACAGGATAAAAGAAAAATTAAAAACAATAGAAAAAGGATTATTAAATTACAATGCTTCAAATTTTAACATAATTTTGGAGTTGACCATAAGGCCCTCTGGAACAACTGCTTAATTTTATAGATGAAGAAACTGAAATTCAGAGTAGCTGAATAACTTGCCCTTTCTAATAACAAGTAACAAAACTATTTGAATTAATCTTCTGACTCCTAGTCCAGAACTCTTTAGACTACTATGTCTTCAGGAGGACAACTGCCCCAATCATGTTGCATTACTACTAGTCTTTTATGATCTAAGTCAATTGGCTAATGATAGACCTTGGGCCAAATCCAGTCTGCTTGTCTGTTGTAAATACAGTTTTATTTGTAACACACAACCATGCCCATTTGGTTACATACTGTCTATGACTACTTTTGTAGAAATCTTTATATTCATTAATAGGACTCACATAATATGCTGGAGGAGAGGGGGGGAAGCACAGTCTATTTAGTATAAATTGTTAGTAAATTTCATAGTATTTAGTAATGAAAGAAAGATGAATCATCTATTTAAACTCCCTAAATTTAGAAGCAGATAAAAAAAGTACTTTTAGAGAACTGTAAAAGATTTGAAATCCATACCATAATGCCACTTTCAACAGGGTTCATAATAGAGACAAATATCAAAACATAAGAAATACTAGACCTAGTTAGACAATGATTTATCTGGTCTAAATGTCTGTCTCCTAGTAACATAAAGGCAAGGATTCTGAATCTAGGGGGTAGGCTTGAAGGACTCTTCGAACTCTCTGAAACAGTATACAACATTTTAAAGATATATATATGCAACATATTAAACATATTTTTTTGAAAAATGGATCCATGTTTAAAGAGGTCATGACCCCAAAAAGTTAAGAACCACTACATTAAAGGAATATCTTAGAGAGATTTAGCTACCACCTCATACAAATTAATAAGAAAAGCACAAAACTGTAAAAGATAAGGAGACAAAGGACAACTCAAAAAAGAGAAAATAAGTAAAACTAATAAACATGGAAAAAAACTCAGATGAAATATAAGAAATGCAATTCAAAATAATATACTTCACCTATCAAGATGACCATTTTTTAAAAATATGTACTCAATGTTAGGGAAGATAAAATGGAATGGACACTCACTGGTGGGACATAAGTTATTACTCTCTTTCTTAAAAGCAATCTAACAATAAATATGAAAATCCTTTTGACCAAATAATTCTATGTCTCAGAAACTATATTAAGAAATAAATCTAGCCGAAACCGGTTTGGCTCAGTGGATAGAGCGTCGGCCTGGGGACTGAAAGGTCCCAGGTTCGATTCCGGTCAAGGGCATGTATCTGGGTTGTGGGCACATCCCCAGTAGGAGATGTGCAGGAGGCAGCTGACCGATGTTTCTAACTCTCTATCTCTCTCCCTTCCTCTCTGTAAAAAATCAATAAAATATATTAAAAAATAAATAAATAAATCTAAATGTAAAGATTTATGTACAAAGATGTTCAATGCACTGTTATATATTTTTAAACTGGCAATTAATTGCTCAACAGTGACTGATGAAGTAAATGTGGATTCATCTACCGTTATGCACAGTCATTAAAACATGTTAATGATATGAGAAATTGCTTATGACAAGCTATAAAACACTAACTATATTTGATCCCAGTAATGTTAAGATAAATATATATGTAATATAAAGTACTAGAAAGAAATATGCCAAAATGCTAATACTATAGTGGTTCTATGGTATACTGGATTGGAGTGAGAGAAAAGTGATTGCCATTTTCTTTTTCTTATTCTCCTACTAGTGTCCTGGTGCACGAATTCGTGCACGTTGAAAGGAAATTAATTAGAAAATGGCCAGTGGGGCGGGACTGCGCGAGATGGGCCGGACATGCCCTGGAGCCAACCTCCCGCGGTCCCTTCCCAGCCGGCCACATCTGGGGTGGCGCCGTGGCTTGAAGGGCATCTGCAGAGTGAGCGGGGTCCCTCGGCCTGGCCTGCAAGGATCGGGTCAAAACCGGCTCTCTGACATCCCTTAAGGGGCCCCAGAGTGCAAGAGGGCATTCTGCAAAGTTGCTGTCATACAGGGTGTGGAACACAAATGCAAGTGTGTAGTAAACCAGATTCGGGGCCAATAGTGCCCCAGCAACAACATAACCCACGGCCAAAGGTGGAATCACACAGCCCCACAAGGAATCGGGTTCCCTCCTCTCTGGTTTTGGGTGTGTCACCTGAGAACCACTGCTGCCAAGTCACTGCAGCTCGGCAGCTCCTGCATCGAGCATCTGCCCCGATGGTCAGTGTGTGTCATAGTGACCGGTCAGACGAGCAGAGGAACACTTTGCATATTAGCCTTTTGTATAGATAGATATTTTCAATTTTTCCACAATGGGCATGCATCACATCCATCCATTATTTTATTATTTAAAAAATAACTAATTTAGCCCGGCCTGTGTGGTTTGGTGGTTGAGCATCTATCCATACCAGTTCAATTCCTGGTCAAGGCACATGCCCGAGTTTCAAGCTCAATCCCCAGTGGGGGGGCGTGCAGGGGACAGCCAATCAATGATGTTTTTCTCTCATCGATGTTTCTATCTCTCTATACTTCTCCCTTCCTCTCTCTCTAACATGGAATATTCAGAGTATTATTCCCCAAAATAAACCCAGTATCAGATCTAAATACTATTACATAAGCAGAATTCCCTTTTAATTGCTTTAAAAGTACTTCTACCAAACTACAGAGGTGCTACTTCCCTAGTGCTAATATCTTTAAGACTATGTAAATAAGTCCAGATTAATCCATTACATTCTAAATTTATATACTTCAATTCTGTTTTTGTAAAATCTATTTTTAATTATAGTTGACATACAATATTATATTAGCTTTAGGTACACAACATAGTGAGATTCAACTGTTTTATACTTTATGAAGGGATCACCATAGTATGTCTAGTAATCACTGGTCAGTACACATAGTTAATACAATATCATTAACTATAATCCCTATATTGTACATTACATCCCACTGACTTATTTTTTTTAAATATATTTTTATTGATTTCAGAGAGGAAGGGAGAGGGAGAGAGAGAAACATCAATGGTGAGAGAGAATAACCAATCGGCTGCTTCCTGCACACCCCCCTACTGGGGATCGAGCCCACAACCCTGGCATGTGCCCTGACCCAGAATTGAACCATGACCTCCTGTTTCATAGGTCAATGCTCAACCACTGAGCAATACTGGCCAGGCTGGGCCCCTGACCTATTTTACAACTATAAGTTTGTATATTATTTTTGGTTAATCTTCAACCAGGGATATTTTTCGGAGATATTTTCCCACTGATTTTTAGGGAGAGTAGATGAGAGAGGGAAAGACAGAGAGAAACATCAATGTGAGAGAAACACATCGATTGGTGGCCTCCTGCACAAGCCCTGATCAGTGCCGGGTCCAGAGGGGAGCCTGCAACCAAGGTATGTGCCCTTGACGGGAATCGAACCTGGCACCCTTTGGTCCACAGGCCAACGCTCTATCCACTGAGCCAAACTGGCTAGGGCAAAGTTTATACATTCTTTTCCTCCCAATCATATTCTCTTGTAACATTCTAGATTATATTCACACATGCCATCTCTTCACAGCTGCCCATTTCTAAACCTTCAGACTTTTTTCAATAAAAGTATATTAGATGTCATATATAGACTACTTCAAACCTAAGTATGGGAACAAAACAAAAAACAATTTTATTGCCCAAATAGACAAAAGTTAAAAATCCAGGAAAACAAACGTGAAGATTTAGAAATACCGGCACTGAATTCTAAACTGTATCAGTGAAAAACTATGTAAAAATATGGATGCACATAAACAATAACCAGAAGGGATGATGTAAAAATGAGAGTAAGAAACAAACTCATAGATACAGAGGACAAACTGATGGCTGCCAGATAGGTGAGGCATTAGGATATAAGCAAAAAAGGTGAAAGGAATTAAGTACAAATTGCTAATTATAAAATTAGTCACCAAGATATAATGTATAGCATAGGGGATATAGCCAGTAATCCTATCCTATATAATAAAGATGAAATATGCAAATGGTCGTTACATAACAACGGACCGCCTAACGACTGGATCACGGATCAGCAGGAGGGTGGGGCAGTGAGCTACAAGCGGGCGGCAGAGAGCTACAGGAGGGGGCAGGGCAGCAAGCTATAGGGGGGGGGCAGTGGGCAGAGAGCTATAGGAGGGCGGCAGCAAGCTACTGGCGCATGAATTGGTGCGCAGGGCTACTAGTAATGTAATAACTGCATGGTGACAGACAGTTACTAAACTTGTGGTGATCACTTCATAAGGGATATGAATGTCTAATCACTATGTTGTACATCTGAAAGCAATATAATATTGTTTGTAAACTATAATTAAAAATAATTAAAAATTTTAAGAAATGAAAGTAACTGATAAATCTGGGTTTTAATTTCCATAATTGTTATTATAATTTGTAAAAAAAAGACTTTAAGTGGTACAGCAAACACTAATTTTAATAATTAACAATAACTTCTAAAAGTATATGAGTACAGTGAAAAATGGACATTTTATAAAATAAGCATTATTCAACACAAAAGCAATATGCTAACTGACATCTTAATTCTGGTATAGGTTCAAGTAAAAAGTTGGAGTTTAGTAAAAACTATAAACAATGCAAACAGACAATATGCTAAGAAAGAAAAATAAGATGTACTAATCTACCCTGTACATAGTTCTTTGCTTGTACCTTTGTCCTTCTTGAAATCCAGTGCATCTTGTTTATCTGTGACAATTTCCTTCATGTTAACAACACTTCGGTGGATTAGCTGCCGAAGGATTTTGATCTCACGAATGGCTGTGATTGGGAAGCCTTCTTTCTCATTGTCTAGTCTCACCTTCTTCAGGGCCACTAGCTCTCCTGTCACAATAAATTCAAATTATTATAGTATCAACTAGCATTTTTTTGGCTACCATCTAGTCAATATATGCCCTTGCTCTGAAAGCCTGACTTAATGCCTATTTTAATGCTTTTATATCTTAAAAAACAAGTCCCTAAATTCCCTTTCTTATCTTTGATTTCTTTAAGACTTGAATTTTTATAAATCCCATAATCAGTTAGGCTTAAACATTTTGGTTATTAAAATACACCAATAATTCAACTACATTATTTTATCTTCAAGGACTAAGCCCCTTATCAAACAAAGAGCAATTTACAAATTTTATTTTTACCCTCTCTTAAATTCCAAGCAAGCTTATTATAAAACATTTACAAAAGACAACGAAAAAGAGGAGGGTTTTTAAACTGTAATAATTATACTATTCTTTTGGAAAATTTTAGTCTATTTAGTAACTTTTGGAGACCAAATTAGAACCCAAAACTTACTTTTGATAAGTCCACTTAAGACATCAGTATTGCTAACTTTTTAACCTGACATCTAAATTTCGTGGCAATATTTACCTGTGTCTTTGTCCTTGGCTTTATATACTTGGCCATAGGTTCCCTCTCCAATAATCCCAATAATGTCAAACTTGTCCACACAGCGTTTCCCCCAATCACTTTCTGTCTGTCTTCGTTCTCCATAACGAGGACAACAGATTCTAAAAATGACAAAACAAAATGTTGTTTTTTAAAATTAAATCTACTAAAAAAAAAAAAAATTCTTTTATGATTTCTCTAATTCCTGAGTCTTCTATGAATTTCTTTATTAAAAAGGCAGGAATTAAATAATATGAAATAAATAGTTTAAACCGTCTCTCATGATGGCTAAAACACAGATTTTTTTTTACTTCAGGAAGACACAAGATAAAGTAGATTTGCTGCTTAGTTTCTGACCTCTATTGAGTATTTGCTTACTCACCTATAGAATGGGAAAAGAATCCCTACATCATAGGGTTACAATAAAAATAGAAAACTTTGGCAATAATAAGTACTCAAGAAAAGTAAGTTTTTATTAAGAGAGGAATGCTAACAATCAGAAGATCAAACCCAGATTCTACTACATTTATGGTGTGGCAATTTATGTGATTAAAGAAAAAAAATCCCACATCTATTAATTTCATTAATATGTACATGGCTTACACACCCTGAGTATAAGGGCTTTTTTTTTCCCTTCAATACTCTAAATATTATGAACTCAAAAGATACAATGGGATCAATGTTCGTGATATATTTGGATTGGGGAAATTATTGCTTGTCTAAAAAAAATAATAACAGCTACGTATCTGTGAATGTAGATGAATGGGTCTCCTAAGTAGTAGGTTTTTATCCATTAAAATAAAATAATAGATATACATTAGGCTCAATCTTTTATGATCCTACTAGTGTGGGTTGTAGAAGAAAGTGTAAGATTTAAGCTCCAAAGTTCTTCACTGTAATAAAAGCTGTACTTAAGGTAGGTCCCTACAAAAACTCACTTTGGTCTCTTTTTATATGGTTGCTGAGGTGGTGTGATTGCCTTTGGTTCTGGAGAGTCAGGTGGAGATGGATCCCCACCAGGGAGTTCTGGAGGGAGAGGGAGGTCCGTGAGTAAGTGACGTGGCCTTTGTTCCTTCTCTTTCTTTACGGGTTTTGAAGGCAGAGTTTCTTTTGGACTAAACAATAAAGAAGAGAAGAAAAGATCACAATTACTTAAAGGATATGCAAATAAAACTATCAAGATTATAATGTCTGGCTATTAAAAGATCACAAAGATTTTACTTTTAAAGGAAAAAATCCATAATACAAAGTCAGAAAAAGGAGTTTATCAAAGTTAAAAAGACTTGAATTTTGCAAAAAGAAATCTATAATATATTAAAGAAATAATAGCCCTGGCCGGTGTGGCTCAGTTGGTTGAGTATCTTCCTGCGCAACAAAAAGGTTGCTGGGCCCTAGCTGGTTTGGCTCAGTGGATAGAAAGTGGGCTTGTGGACTGAAGAGTCCCATGTTTGATTCCGGTCAAGGGCACATGCCAGGGTTTCGGGGTCAATCCCCAGTAGGGGACATGTAGGAGGCAGCCGATCAATGATTCTCTCTCTCCCTCTCCCTTCCTCTCTGAAATAAAAAAATATATATATTTAAAAAAATAAAAGTATATTTTAAAATAAATTTAAAAAAAAGAAAGGTCACCAGTTCAATTCCTGGTCAGGACACATGCCCAGGTTGTGGTGAGTATGGGAGGCAACCAACCAATGTTTCTCTCTCTCTAAAAATCAATAAAAATATATTTTAAAAAATAAAGAAATAATAAAAATTTTGGAATATTATTTGTAGGTCCTTTAACAAACTCTTCCTTTAATATCCTTCCCAAGATTCTATTTAGGTGGTTTTTTTAAGATTTTTAAATTGATTTTTATAGAAAGTAGAAGGGAGAGGGAGAGTGGAATAGAAACATTGATGAGAGGGAAACATCAATCAGCTGCTTCCTGCATGTCCCCACCGGAATCAAGCCTGTAACCCAGGCATATGCCCTGACTGGGAATCAAACCAGCAATCTCTTGGTGCATGGGGCAACACTCAAACACTGAGCCACATGGGCCAGATTCTATTTGGATTTTTACTGAGATTAAATAAAATGCAGAAAGTAATAATCTTAAATTTGCAAAATTCACTACAACTCATGGCATCATCAAACCTACTCTATATTTTAACCAGCAAAGATTTAAACAACAAATGAAAGCTCAACAATGTAACACTACCATATCGCTAAAGATGTGGAGAGAACTTGGACAAAGGGAATAGTATTTTAGAACTCGGAAAAAGAAATAAAGCTAAGCTGGAAATCAAAACTAGTGAAAAGTATACTGATTTATTCTATTGGTTTGGAAGCAAAAGGCAACCATATCTGACCTGCCAAGATGGATAAATAAACCTCAAACTAAAAAATCTAAGGAGAAGTCCAAGCAACTATTACAGAATCATTAAAAGCAGGTGCAGCAGATCTCTCATGTTAATCAACAAGTTATAGTCAGTGGGGGGAAAAGGATGACTTTTCTGGAATAGATTGGAAAATCTCAGTTTGAGATCCAAATTTTAACTATATCAATTTAATTTAATTTAATTTAATTTAATTTAAGTAGGTGAAGGATTTTGTGCCATGCATGCCCTCAGAAAAGACAGTGCAGTATATTAATTCATTCCTACAAATAAAACCATGTTAGATAGTAAGCCTTTTCTATTCCATCACAGTATTAGAAGGTTGAAAAGGATCTGAGAATCGTAACCACAGTAGGAGCCTCCTCCACTTTTTTTGACAAGTGGTTATAAAAAACCATATTCTCCTTTTTCTTTTTAAAGCAGATTGTAACTTGAGCATTACATTTCCATTCAAAACTTGATCTGAATTACTTTTGAACAGCTTTACAACATGTCTAGACAGGCTTATAATTTTGCTATTCTAAGCAATACTTTTCTTTGGTAAACAAGCCCTATAGATAGTTACTCCTATAAGCTGGTTCAGTTTAACATACTAATTTCTAAAGGCCAGGTACAAGCAGTTGATAACTACAGGGAATGGAAGTCTTAAAAGTAGATCTTAGAAGATGAAACATATTCTTTCATGAATATGTTTCATAAAGACTAGCTCTACCCTTGCAATGTACCTTTTTGAAGCATACTGCTGCCCTTTGTGTGTGAAACAATCTCAAAATCTACTTCCTCCTACCAATTTTCATCATTTTAAGCTCTTGTCAATCAGACAGAATAGAATCTAGATTAGTTTGCAAAATGATCATCTGAGCTTTCTGTTAAATTACTGATAGAGATAACTTATGACATTACAATTTGCACGATTCTTCTACCCTGGGAACAAAGCATATTACCAGGAAACTCTCAAGTCAGGATACAATATACGTTCTTAAAATTTCCCCAATTTTCAAGATATTCAGGGAAAGAAAATTGCTCACTTCTCAACTAATGTCAGATATTGTTTTGTATTCCTGAGAAACTATTTTTAAATTTTTATTTTTCAATTACAGTTTACATTCAATATTATTTTGTATTAGTTTCAGGTGTACAGCATAGTGGTTAGCAAATGTTCTTTGTAAATTTCAACTCCTCATGATTCAGAAATGCATTAGTTCTTGGTTCTGCTTCACCAGAATCAAAGTATCTGAATTCTATCATCATTATTTCATGTAAGTTCAGTCTATGTTTTATAGTTAGGTTTTGTTTTCATCCAAAGTTTACTTTATGGATTCAAATATAATTTGCTGTGAAAATGTACATTGCTTCTGGAAAAAAATCACATTGGTAGCATGTTTATTTCAAGAAAGAATGAGTGTTTGACAGGATGTGTACATCCTACTAATTTAGGACATACATGTTGAATATGGATCAAATGCTACTTCAACAAATTCCAAAAAAACCCCCAAATTCCAATGTTCCAAAAAACCTTGGAATGATGGCCCATAAAATTGCAATGCTTAACAACATTATGGTCTTTAGCCTTTAGTGTAGGGCACTCGGTAAAATATAGCTCTATATAGTTCTGAGGACATACAGATGTCGAGATGTTCTAACATAGGGAAGCAGACACTGACTCTTAAGTCATTACTTAAAAATCCAGTACCATGAAATACTGAACTACCTTAATATCAGCACTTCCTGGTTCCCCATTTATACCTATAGACAGCTCACATATGGTGAGTAGATTGAATAATACTCATGTATAATAATTTTTTTTAAACCTCACCAGAGGATTATTTTTTCCATCACTTTTCTGTTTTTAGAGAGAGAGTGGAAGGAGAAAGAAAGAGAGAAAACATCAATGTAAAAGAGACATATCGATTGGTTGCCTCCTGCATGCACCCCAACCAGGGCTGGGGGATCAAACCTGCAACCGAGGTACGTGCCCTTGACCAGAGGTCAAACCCACAACCCCTCAATACACAGGCCAATGCTTTAACCACTGAGAACACTGGCCAGAGCTCATGTATAAAAGTTGTCAAGATCCAGGACTGCCTGAAGTTTAAGAGTCTCTCTTTTTTAAAATTCTTTATTGTTTAAAGTATTAAGTAAGTCTACTTTTTCCCCCACTGACCTCTCCCCAGCTGCCCCCACTCCCCAAGAGTCTCTTGAAATTTATAATGAGATTTAATCTGTATAATGTAAACACCTCTAATAAGAAGTCTTTATTGTTAAAAAAGAAAGTATAATTCCTTTTGAACTATTTAAAAAGAAAATTTCTTCATAATGTTAAAAATTCAATAGCATAAACTTTAAATATGATAATTTATCCTCTTCCACTTAAAAGCAGATTATTTAAAAAGCGATTTATTCTTACAAACTTCAATTAAAAATTCGAGTTGAGCGCTGACTGGTTTGGCTCAGTGGATAGAGTGTCAGCCTGTGGACTCAAGGGTCCCAGGTTCGATTCCAGTCAAGGGCATGTACCTTGGTTGCGGGCACATACCCAGTAGGGAGTGTGCAGGAGGCAGCTGATCGATGTTTCTCTCTCATAGATGTTTCTAACTCTCTGTCCCTCTCCCTTCCTCTCTGTAAAAAAATCAATAAAGTATATATTTTAAAAAAAAAATTTTGAGTTGATCTCTGGTTGGGTAGCTCAGTTGGTTAGAGCATTGTCCTGAAACGCCAAGGTTGCAGGTTCGAACCCTGGTCAGGAATCAACCACTGAATGAATCAATAAGTGGAACAAATCAGTGTCTCTCTCTCTCTCTCTCTCTCTCTCTCTCTCTCACACACACACACACACACACAAACAATTCTTGTGTGATACATTAAAAATTGGAAAGAACCCAGCCAGTGTGGCTCAGTGGTTGAGCGTTGACCTAGTCACGGTTCAATTCCCAGTCAGGGCACATGCCTAGATTATGAGCTTGATCCCCAGTGTGAAGCATGCAGGAAGCAGTCAATCAATGATTCTATTATCATTGATGTTTCTATCTCTCTCTCTCTCTCTCCCCCTTCCTCTCTGAAATAAAAAAATATATTTTTAAAAAATTAAAACTAAGCATACTATTAGCAAAATCCTAAATCAAATGTGAATGCTCATATAGATCCCTTCTTTTTCTCTAAGAGTTCAATACTTTAAATAAACAGCCATTAAGAATAGTGTAGGCCGGCCAGTGTAGCTCAATGGTTGAGCGTTGACCCATGAACCAGGACATCATGGTTCGTTTCCCGGTCTGGGCACATGCCCAGATTGTGGACTCAATCCCCAGTGTGGGGCATGCAGGAGGCAGCCGATCAATGATTCTCTCTCATCGTTGATGTTTCTATCTCTCTCCCTCTGCCTTCCTCTCTGTAATCAATAAAAATATATTTTTAAAAAAGAACAGTGTAGACTCTACAGAAGTCTAATAAACTCCAAATAAACCAGGCTACCAAAAAAAAAAGAAAAAAAGAAAAAGATTTATAAACCCTATATGGTTAACTGAAAGTTTCATACAGATGATCTCTTTCAAAGCAAGAGATCCTCATGAACTAAGTTCATGAAGAACATACTATATTGAAGTGGGTGTTTGGCAGTCTTTGTTTTGTTTTTGTTTTTTTATATCCTCACCTGAGTACATTCTTAAGAGAGAGGAAGGGGAGAAGAGAGGAAGAGAGAGAAATCGATGTGAGAGAGAAACATCAATTGGTTGCCTTCCCTATGTACCCTGACCCAACCTCCAACCAGGCTGGGGATCAAACCCGCAACCCAGGCACGTGCCCTGATAGGATATCAAACTGGCAACCTTTCGGTGCACAGGACAACACTCAACCACCTGAGCCACTCCGGCCAGGCAGCCTTTGTTTATTGAAACCAAGAAATATAAACCATGAATCAGAAAGGCTTTTGCAATACCATTAATTAAATTCCTGCATTTGATACCTGGGTTAATACACTCCTGTGCAATCTATATGCTTGAAAGAAAAGTTTCATTCTTTTTCCAAAAGGATTTTAACTAAAAGAAGACAAATCCTCTAATACAAGCTTTATGTCATCCATGTGCCAAATGATTTAACTACATGCCCAGTGTCATTTCACACAGACTCTGACTCCTTCAGCAGTTTTACTTATTCATTCACATAATCAATATTTACTGATTGCATTCTGTGTTCCTTGTTTAAAGCACTGCAGGCAATAAAAAGCTGTATATTATATTCTTAACATTTAAGCTGCTGCAATTTCACATGAGAAGATAAGAATATAAGTGAGGTCCATATGCAACTTTTAGATTTCTTCCTGAAAAGTTTTCTTAAATAAAAATTATTTTTCATGTGAAAAATAGATATAAATGGCACATGGATAGAGAGTATATATACATATGAACAAATTGATATTGAAAGAAATCTTCATTTCCATTTTTATCCCTTTAATAATTTGCTTAAAAGTGAAAAACAACTGGTAATAACCATACATTTTAAAATAATTACATTGAACTAAGAAATAAAGTATCATTACACTTTCAGAATCAGAATTGAGCTATAACAAAAATAGTTTGCTCACTTCATCCTCTCTCATACACATTCTTTTTTTTCTTTTAAATATATTTTATTGAATTTTTACAGAGAAGAAGGGAGAGGGATAGAGAGTTAGAAACATCGATGAGAGAGATCGATCAGCTGCCTCCTGCACAGCCCCCAGTAGGGATGTGCCCGCAACCCAGGTACATGCCCTTGACCGGAATCGAACCTGGGACCCTTGAGTCCGCAGGCTGACGCTCTATCCACTGAGCCAAACCGGTTTGGCCTCATACACATTCTTAAAGATAGCCACACATACTTACATAAGCAGTGTATGGTCTCACTTTATCCTTCATCTCTAATCTGAAATATAGAAAAACCCCTATGTGCCATCTATCAACATTATTCCACCTGAAAACCTGCACTCCACATGACCCATGGTAGGTTGATTCAATAATTATTTGGCTAGCTAAATAAAATTTCAAAATAAAGATTCTTAGCCACACTGATATTGCTCTAACCACTACATAAAACTAATATTTAAATGTGGTGCTTGCCCTAACTGGTTTGGCTCAGTGAATAGAGCATCAGCCTGCAGACTGAAGGGTCCCAGGTTCAATTCCAGTCAGGGGCATGTACCTTGGTTGCGGGCACATCCCCAGTAGGGGGTGTGCAGGAGGCAGCTGATCAATGTTTCTCTCTCATCGATGTTTCTAACTCTCTATTCCCTCTCCCTTCTCTGTAAAAAATAAATAAAATATTTTTTTTAAAAAGTGGTTCTTGTGGGTAAGATAATGGCCTACGGTCCCTTTGGATGACGTTAAACTATGTTCCTTTTCCAACAAAAACTGTAAAAACATATAGCTTTTGTATCTGTAAGTATTTCTACATAAATTTCAGGCTCTGTTACTCGTCTTTGTAGTTCTCAGTATGTGGCAGAATTCATAAATACTTATTAATATTAGAAAAGAATGTGGAATTTTTCTTTAAAATCAGATTTACTACCATTCTTTTAAAAAGTTTTAGAGGGAGGGGTTTTTCCCCATTTATTGCACTTGCACCTTCCTAAAAGGTACAGAGGGTAGTCTGGAAAAATATAGATCTAAATGGCTGAAATATATCACTGTTCAAATTACCTATGTCACCTGGAAAGTAATAAAGGGTTGAGAATTGGTATAGGATGCAAGATCAGTGGTACTTATTTTTGTGCTTACAACGAAAATTTGGTGCAGTAGACTAAACTTATATCCTAGAGAACAAAAGGGAATCTCAGTAAAAAAGAGTAGCATAGCCCTAACTGGTTTGGCTCAGTGGATAGAGCGTCGGCTTGAGGACTGAAAGGTCCCAGGTTCGATTCCGGTCAAGGGCATGTACCTTGGTTGCGGGCACATCCCCAGTAGGAGGTGTGCAGGAGGCGTGCAGGAGGCAGCTGGTCGATGTTTCTCTCTCATCGATGTTTCTAACTCTCTATCCCCCTCCCTTCCTCTCTGTAAAAAAAATCAATAAAATATTTTTAAAAAAACACACAAAACAGTAACATAAATACTGTCATGGTATATGTCACTGCTAAATTGTGTTTGGTGGCAACTGCCTAGCTAGTTCTGTCAAGAAATTAAAAGTATTTCCTAATGTCTTCTATAAAATTAGACTCATGCTTCATAATCATTTAATCAATTCTCAATACTCAGAGAACTTATTAAAATTAGTTTTTCTCATCATCCCATTGTGAATTGTATTCTAAATAGTAAAGATTCTACATATTGTTCTTCTGCTTCTTATAGAATAACTGTTTTTTGTGGTTTTTTTTTAAAGCAGAACCTTTTGAAATAAATAAACCTGGCTTATTTTTCTCCTGGACCAGGAAGGAAAAACAAAACAAAACAAAATAAAAGCCATAAGACATTTTAGGGACCACTGAGGATATTCACTATTATTACTACTACTAGAGGCTCGGTGCACAAATTCGTGCACGGGTGGGGTCTCTAGGCCTGGCTGGCGATATGGGGGGTCAGCCAGCTGGGGGGAGGGACCATGAGAAGTTGGCACCCTCCCCCTCATGGGGCCATTGTGGGGGGGCCAGCCTGCGGGGGGCAGGGGGCTGGCTGTGGGAGTGCACTGACCTCCAGGGGGCAGTTCCTGCATTGAGTGTCTGTCCCCTGGTGGTCAGTGCATGTCATAGCGACTGGTCGACCGGTTGTTCCAGTCATTCAGACATAATGGTCGCTTAGGTTTTTACATATATAGATTATTATTTATACTATGTTGTTGATATTATTAGAGACATATTAAAGTACTCAGAAGTATCAAATATCTGCAGTTAAAGCAAATGTGGCCAAAAGTTAACCACTGGTGGATCTAGGTCAGTGGTTCTCAACCTGTGGGTCGCGACCCCTTTGGCGGTCGAACGACCCTTTCACAGGGGTCGCCTAAGACCATCCTGCATATCAGATATTTACATTACGATTCATAACAGTAGCAAAATTACAGTTACGAAGTAGCAACGAAAATAATTTTATGGTTGGGGTCACAACATGAGGAACTGTATTTAAAGGGCCAGAAGGTTGAGAACCACTGATCTAGGTGAAGAGTATAAGGGTGTTAATTGTATCATTTAAAAAGTTTTTCTATAGCTACTAAAATTTTCAACACAAAGATTTGAAAAGAAAATGCTATTGATTTTTTAAAATTTGAATCCAAAGTAGCCTTATCAATAAATAGACTTATGAGAAAAAGGGTTACTGGGCCTCAAATTGTAATTCTTCCTAAGTAATATCATAAATAAGGACTTTTCCACTGAAAACTGAACATCAAAGGCATTTCCTATTCATAAAAACATTCTAAATAGCCATGCATTAGAGCAGTTTTAACAAAGTTTGAGAAAAATGTATTACACTTAGATCAAGAGGTTAAGTTTTCTCAGTTAACTATGGGACTTACCTATCCATGTCATCTTCTCCAAGTAATAAGGGTGGAAGGGGCAGAGGAGGCAACGTTGACGTTTTTAGGTGTGGAATAGCAGCTGTTACAGACACTTGAGTCTTCATAGAAACCTGTACAGAGGGCTGAGAATTTGCCTGAGAGGACAGAGTAGACGTCCTTAAGTGGGTAGAAGGGGGCAAAGTTGAAGGACTAGAAGCAGGAACCTGACTAAATGCTGGCTGGGGAGGAGGGAGAGGTGGTTGCTGTGGAATAGCTGGTAGTGGAGGCAAAGGTGGCAAAGGTGGGGTTTGAGGTGGAGGGGTAGTAGTCGGTAAAGGAGGTGGAGGAGAATTAACTGTGGGGAGAGGTGGAAGGGTCTCCTTTTCTGTTGTCTCTGTATCTTTTGGAGTAACAATCTCCTCCTTCAATGCCATGGGTTTAGTGTCTCTTGATCCCTGTACTTTCAAATCTTTAAGAACAGGATGCTTTTCAGAGTTCTCATCCACCTTTACTTTCCCTGTATCTAAAGAATTTTTGGCTTCTATGTTTAGATGTGTTACATTCACTAGTTCAGTATCTGGGGCAGATTTTTCCAATTTTAAAACTCTGGGTAACTTTTTAGACTCCAAACCTGAATCCTTAGCTTCTACTGAACTGTTCTCTTTTCTAGTCAAAATAACAGGTGAACCCTTGGATTCCTTTCCATCCATTTTTGCTGCAGCTGCAGCAGCTGCTCTTTCCTTCTTTTTCCTACTGAGTTCAGCTCCCAAGCTGGAGTTCAATGGAAGTCGGACAGGTGAGATACTGGAATGTCGACTACGTGACCCGGATCTCTTCTTTTTACTATGAGAAGATGAATGTCTTGAATATGCAGGACTTCTACTTCTAGACTTCATGGACTTCCTAATGGAAAAAGAAAAAGACAGTTCAATGGATAGGCTATAGCAAAATAAAGGAAAATAGATCAGTTAAACTATGGAGAACTATAACTTAAAAAAAACCACTTTAAGTTAGCAATCTTAAAAATAGTTGTCAAACAATAATAAATCAACATTGGTTCATTAATTGGTTTAATTGTAACAAATGTATCATACTAATATAGGATGTTAATGGGGAAACTGGGTTTCAGGACATATAAGAACTCTGCACTATCTTCACAATTTTTCTGTAAATCTAAAACTATTCTAAAAAAAGTTTAAGAAATAGGAACTAAATCCTGTATGACAATACATTTCTATCATCTAACACTAAAAATTATTTAACCAAAGGAAGATTGATATTTTTTCCCCATGTTAGGAAATACCAATATTCACAATGTTTACTTTTAGAATTTTGATTTAAATTTCTGATAAAGTGAAAATATGATTTAAAAAGTCATACTTTATACCAAAGGGGGGGGTATATCAATCAAGAAATTAAAAGTAACAAGCATGCTTCACCAAAATATAAACTTTTTTACATGTTTTTATTGATTTTAGAGAGGAAGAGAGAGGGGGAGAGATAAAAACATAGATGAGAGAGAATCATCAACACTGATTGGCTGCCTCCTGGCATGCCCCATGCTAGGGATCGAGCCTGCATCCCAGGTATGTGCCCTGACCAGGAATAGAACTGGTGACCTATTGGGTCATGACGATCAACCATTGAGCCACATCAGCCAGGCCCAAAATCTAAGTTTTTAACTACAGAACTACTTAATTGACAGATCCCAGGAAAAAATTTTTGTTCCTTGTATCCTCAATTTATAATTAAGTTGTGCCTAAACAAACCCCCAAGAGGCAAGAACTGTCTTACCAAAATAATTTATTAAAAGTTCTCAAAACCATAATGGCTTCTGGTACTTTCAAATATAAAATGATTTCTAATCAACTTTTTAGGAACTTGTAAAGCGAGGTATTATTGCACGTTCATTTTATTTTCATTATTAAGAAAGGATCGGGCCCTAACTGGTTTGGCTCAGTAGATAGAGCGTCGGCCCGTGGACTGAAAGGTCCCAGGTTCAATTCGGGTCAAGGGCATGTACCTTGGTTGCAGGCAAATCCCTAGTTGGGGGTGTGCGGAAGGCAGCTGATCGATGTTTCTCTCTCATCAATGTTTCTAACTCTCTATCCCTCTCCCTTCCTCTCTGTAAAAAAATCAATAAAATATATTTAAAAAAAAAAAAAAGAAAGAAAGGATCGGGAAAAATTTTAGAATCTATGAGGCAGATTATTCTAAATTGAAACCCAACCCTCATTCTTTCTGCTTTTAAAAAAATCATTTTATTGATTTCAGAGAGGAAGAGAGAGGGAGAGAGAGATAGAACATCAAGGATGAGAGAGAATCATTGATCGGCTGCCTCCTGATCCAACCCACAACCCGGGCATGTGACCTGACCGGGAATCCAACTGGTCATAGGTTGAATGCTTAACCACTGAGCCATGCTGGCTGCACTCTTTTTGCTTTATTTTTTTAATATATTTGTATTGATTTCAGAGAGGATGGCAGAGGGAGAGAGAGATAGAAACATCAATGATGAGAATCACCAATCGGCTGCCTCTTACATGCCCCGCACTGGGGATCGAGCCTGCAACCCAGGCACATGCCCCTGACCGGAATCAAACCCAGGGTCCACAGGCCAATGCTCTATCCACTGAGCCAAACCAGTGAGGGCCCTTTTGCTTTTTGAAAAACCCTAATGTGCTTAGGCTTCAAGGTGTGTGAGTGTGTATGGGGGAAATTAGCACTAAAATGTAATTAGACAAAACATAATTTGCTCAGCAGTCTAAAACAAATTGTTCCCATTCCAGATCTTCAGTATCTCCCTTTATCTTTGATCACTGGTAAGACTGACATGAATCAAAACATTCCAAAACAAACAGTATATATGTGTAGTGAAAACAACTCACATGGTGTTAGCCATGATTTTCTTATACCTGTACTGCTCTTTGGAAATTTGCCCCCAAAACTTAGTTAAAATATAAAGTCATTATTAGAATCAAAGTACCCAAAACAACAACATATATATGTATGTATGTATGTATGTATGTATGTAAACTACTGAGAGTAGTTAAGTGGATTTATCAAATACCCACTTATCCTTAAGAAAATTAATACAGTACTTCACTTGTAAAAAACTGGCTGAAACAAGAGGTTTTCTCAGTTTGAATTAGAGCTGGTATAAAATTAACACCTCTATCCCAGGAAAAACTTCTAAAATCCCAAACACTAAGTAATGTCAGAGACCACGCTATACAAAGCATTGTTTCTATAATCTTTCAGCATGACTAAATCTTTCTAAGGAACTTTGCTTTAAAAGCCCTTGAATTTCTGAATAGAAGCCTATTGTTAATGGGACATCTGGATGGCCATATACTTAAGGTATTTTTTCTGATATACATGTTGTATTTGAGATCCAGACCCAGTCTTCAAGGAAAAAAAAGAGGGGAGAGACAGGCCCTGCCAGCATGGTTCAGTGGTGGAGCTTCAACCTATGAACCAGGAGGTCACGGACAGATTTCCGTCAGGTCACATGCCCAGGTTGTGGGCTGAATCCCTAGTGGGAGGCAGCCAATCAATGATTCTCTCTCATCATTGATGTTTCTGTCTCTCCCTCTCCCTTCCTCTCAGAAATCAATAAAAATATTTTTAAAGGGGGGAGACAGCAAATAGGTAAAGTCAGGGAATAAAAAAAAAAATTTGTCTTCAAAACTAAATATACGTTTCCCCTGAATTAAGTTAGGTTCCACCCATCTGAAATAAAATTGCTACTATTCATCACTACTAATTTGGTAAATACAAAGACCTTGCATTTCTGCCAATGCATTTTGTCTTTTAAAACAACGCTGCTTGTTTAATTTTTACTCTCTCCCAAGGAAAAAACACAGAGAATACCATAGAAGGATCTGTATGTTCCTTTATTCTGACTCTAAGAAAGTTTTATACTTACTGTTTAGAATTCCAACAAATGAGGAAAAATATATAATGCACAATTCAAACATATGATGCTCTCTACAAACCAACTAAAAATGTGCATTTGACTCTAAGGTTATAATGAGGTACTTATATTTATTTCCTATACTATCATAATGTGTCTCCAATTCTTTCTTGATTTATTTTAACCATTTCTGCACTAGTTCCAATTAACTGAGTAGAAGAAAACAAGATATGAATCCAAAAGGAATCACTGCAAAGCCACAGTTCTTACTGAAACTCATTTTACTGTTTTAGCTCTAATGCACTTCTGTATTCCCAAACCCCACAATAAAAATTCTCAGAACAGCTTTATTAAACTACTCCCTCAAGAAAACAAGTATTTGGCTACTGTCTGTGGAATAGCCACTTTCTGTGTACTGCTTCACTAATAAACTCTTTCACTTAAACAAAAGAAAAACTTTGAAAATATTTCATTTCTTAGTGTTCCTTAAAAAACTAAACTTTCAAATGGTACACTTAAGATATCCACTTCCCTGTATATAAATTTTACTCCTCATTAGCTGATGACCTCTAGCTAATGATACACAGGCTAAATAAAGAGTTTATAGTGAAGTATACTGATGTCAGCAATTTACTTTAAATCAAAACAAAAGGTGAATTGATGGACAGATATAAAATATATAGCAAATATTAATTGTAGAATGTAGGTGGTACATGTATGGGTCCTTACTACAATTCTTTAAACTTTCTGTTTTTGAAAAATTATTATGAAATGGAGTGAAAAACTAAGGAACTTCGGACCCTGACAACTAGGAACTCGGCAGGCTTGATCAATTCAAACGAGTTTATGAATAATTATAAATGTAAGTTGACAAAAATTACTCACATTGACATATAAAAGATATGCATGGGTTTTTTCAAGTTAGAGTAATTTCTCTAGAAGTATTCAACAACATTTTCCTTACTCATAGAATTTACTGACTGGCTTCAGGTTCCAGGCACTGTACTATGCACTTCATATTTACTAATTTAATCCTCACAACAGCTCTAGAAGTTGGTAGTTATTATTCCCATTTTACACATGAAAAAACTTGGGCATGGAGAAATTATTTGCCAAAGGACACATAGCAAGATTAGGACTCCACTCAGGTATAACTCCAAAGCCCATGTTCTGCTTTTGTGGACAAAGGTGAGTCCACAAAGAGAGAGGTACAATTTCATCATCTACGAACAAGAACACTCTAACAATTAAATTTCAAACTAACGTCTTTCTTGCAAAAATAACACAGTAAAGCACTATTACCATTTTTTCAGAGACATTTTTAAAATTGCCAGTGGTCACAGAATACAGCAAATCTTAATAGGTCAATGGTGGTGCTATAAAGAAAATCAAATTATCATTGGAATCAATTTCTGGAAAATAGGCTCTACCATCAAAAGGAAAAAGCACGAATCAGCTGAATTTCCACTAGAAATATCTGTGAAAAGACAGGAGCCTTTTGTAAGTTACCAAAACATTGTCTACTAGGAAATAAGTAAATTTAACAAGTTTGAAGACAGTGGGCAGAACAAATGGTAGATGACCTAGGCCCTAGGGCCTAGGGGTATCGGCCTTCTCCAGAGGGCAGTGGCAGCTCTGCAGGGGTTGCAGTTGAAAAGCAACTTGCTCTAATTTGTTGTCTTACATCACCATGGGAACAGGAGAGGGGCTGGACTGGGAGTGGGGGAGGCCGGAGGCAGGAGTCTCCCACTGAGGCCAAACTCTAAAGCTCAAAGCCTAGTACCCAAATGGGTAATTCACTAGGGCTAGGCAAATAGCTTCAAGATAATTCAAATGAAAATCTATAATTTCTTACATCTCTAATCAGGTTCAATGAGGTCTCAAGCACTAATACCAATGTGATTTTTAAAAAATTTGAAACAAAGGAACAGAAAAAAACTAGATAAGCTTTGGAAACCAGTATCAACTCCATGCATAATTTTTCTTACACAGGAGCTTACAGCTGAAGACCCTGCCACTGGAAGTACCTACCTTTAGCAGTCTTAGGCATGTAACTCTCCACTTTTCAAATTCTGGGTTAAGAGGAGACCAGATTCACTCACTTGAATGACTAGCCAATAGTAAAGTGTTCTAGTCAATGAATAATGGGAACATCAACATAACATTACTAATTGCCAGTTTCTCATAACCCACCCTAAGAAAGAAAGGACTGTTAGACAAATAGCTCACCTGGGGAGCGGACTCCGACTCAGAGACCGTTTGCTGGTGAAAGGGCTGCTGGATCGCCTTCGACCGTAGGGACTGGGTGATCTCCCACTGTAAGAGCCACTCCTTTCATAGCTTGAGGAACGTCTCCGGCTATAGGGACTCACAGATCTCTGTCGTCTACTGTAGGGACTGGGTGACCGGGTGCTGGACTGGTAGGCCGAAGGCTCCTTGTAAGGTGGACTAATAGACTGCCTTCTTGAGGTGCTTCCAGGACTCTTCTTGTAGGAGTCATAATTGCTGGAGGTGTGAGATCTTGGGGGACTAAGGTCATAATCTTGGCCATAAGAAGCTCCTGAGGGGCTATCATCTTGCTTGGGGCTGTCAGACCATTTCCTGTGGGGACTCCGGGATCTCCGTTTGGGGCTGTCCACTGTCTTGTAACTTTTGGGTGTTTCCCTTTTCCGATGACTTTTACTCCGGTCTTTGTGCCCAGACTTCAATTCACGTTCTTTCCGAGTCTTCTCCTTGTGGAGTTTAGATGACCTGGATTCCTTGTTGCTGCTGCTTTTTGAGATCTGTGCCTTCCCATAGTCATCATTCTCCTCATTTGAACGCTTTGAACTTCCTGATATCCGGTCCTTCATTGATCCCGACTTACTGGAAACTTCCTGTTTTTTTTCTTTTTCTGTCTGTTTACTTTTTAGTAAGTCCCGGGAACGTCTGTGCTGGTGGTGACGATGTCTGTGCAAGCGGTCACTCCGATCAGTTCCACGACGTTCATCATTCTCCCTCCTATCTAATTTGAAGGCCATGTCGTCAGAGAAGGTATCTGAATCAGAGCTGATGTCATCATACTCCACCAAAGGTTTGATAACTGTCCCTAAAGGTGCTGCTTCGGGGGTCACCAAACCCATGTCTTTGGAGTGCTTGGACTTGTGCCGCTTGTGCTTCGCCGCCAAGCGGTGACGCTCTCTGCTGTTGGAGCTGCCACCTCCCGATGACGGCTGCAAAGTTCCAGAAGCTCCTCCGCTCCCGTCCTTCTTGCCCCCATGTCTCTCTGGATTGGGCATCCCCTTTCCCCTGGCTTCAACAGGGGGAAAAGTTCCCCAGCACTCCAAAAAGTAACCCCCACCCTCCCCCCAATCCCAACCCCACGCCTACCACAGCACCCCTAGTAGGGGGTGGGGAGGGAAGGGACCGTGGCGCAGGCCCCTCCTCCCTCCCGACTCCTCGGCACCCTCCTACATGAGGTAGGGGTGAAGGAGCCAGGGAAGAAACGAGAGTTCCTCAGCAGTGGGGTTGCGAGACAACGAGCAGCCGCTCAAGTCTGTTCGCCCTCCTCCCCTACGCGGCGCCAATCCTCAGGCACGGGGGCCGGCGAGGTCGAGGAAGTAGGAAGCCGACGGCCCAGGGCTGCGGGGCCGACTCCGGCTCCGGAGCCCAATGAGGACCGCACGGGCCTTTCCCCTACCCGGTAGCCCGACTCGGAGTGGCTTCCTGTCGCTCAGGTCCCGCGGCCTAGGTGCCTCACACACCCTTTGTCCCTCGCTCCTGAGGGAGTTCCTTTTCTTGCCTCCGCCTCACCTCAGTACCTCACACACTCAATCGCTCCCTCACAGACTCAATCCCACACTAGGTTAAACCGAAACGGCACTCGGAGGAGGGGGAGGGGGCAAGCCCAGGAAATATCGCGAGAATACTAAGCTCGCGGTATTTCGTGCTATCCCTTTACTTCTTTCTACTGCTTGATCAAACAACGCGAGAACAGGTCCCAAGCACAAAACGCGATCTTCCATATTCTCGCGATAAGCTCTTCGTTTCCCCATTTGATCTAAGCTTTATGCAAACGGAGGTAGGAGAATTTTTTTTTATTCAAAACTTTATTGATAATTGTTTGAACAAAAACTCTCAGGTACCTCAGGCACCCGCGCACCTAATATTTTCAACTACAGCGCATTAGATAGGACACGGGCCTCAAGGTCTGGGTGGTTTTTACAAAATGCTATTCTTTGTTGTTATTTTGTTTTTATTTCAGAGAGGAAGGGAGAGAGAGAGAGAAACATCAATGATGAGAGAGAATCAGTGATCGGCTGCCTCCCGCACACCCCCCACTGGGGATGGAGCCCACAATCCTGGCTTGTGCCCTTGACTGGAATCAAACGGAGGACCCTTCAGTCTGCAGGCTGATGCTCTATCCACTGAGCCAAACTGGCTAGGGCAATGCTATTCTTGCTGTTAAAACGTAGCCCAGAGCCCTAGCCAGTTTGGCTCAGTGGATAGAGCATCGGTCTGAGGACCAAAGGGTCCTGGGTTCGATTCTTGTCAAGGGTATGTACCTTGGTTCCAGGCTCCTTCGCGGCTCATGCAGGAGGCAATCAATCCAGGTGTCTCTCTCACATGGATGTTTCTCTGTCTCTCCCTCTCTCTTTCACTCTCTCTAAAAATCAATGGATAAAATATCCTCTCGCAAAGATTAACAAAAAAAGAAAAGACTGAATTAATTATGTTAAAATAAAAACATTTTTTAAAATGTAGCCCAGAAAATAAAATTAAAGAAAATGTAGCACAGTATTTTGCAAACCAGCTATAAACAGGGTGAGCTTGACAGGAACTCAATCAGCCAGGCAAAGAAGAAATCAACAGTGTAATTGACAAAATAGTGAATATATGCAATGGCTAAGCCTCCTTCCGCGGAGGCAAAAACTTGGGATATGAATCCCCTATCTCCTTTATTTGCTGCAAGTAAATCAAACTACCTTGGGACAACCATCTCTCGTTCTTGAATAGAGCACTTCAAGTAGCAAACTTCTTGAGTTTGATAAGAGGATAAAAATATTAGGAACAGTGCCCTAGCCAGTTAGGCTCAGTGAATAGAGCATCAGCCTGTGGAGTGAAGGGTCCAGGGTTCGATTTTGGTCAAGGGCACATACCCGGGTTGCAGGCTTGATCCCCAGTAGGGAGTGTGCAGAAGGCAGCCAAAAAATGATTCTCTCTCATCATTGATGTTTCCTTCCCTCCTCTCTCTTCCTCTCTGAAATCAATAAAAATATATTTTTAAAAAAGAAAATATTGGCAACAGGGCAAAGGTGGGGACATTTCAACCCAAGTTCCTAAGCATATAACTTATACAGCGTATAATACATACGTTATCTCTAATTCTCATACTACCCTGCAAAACACGATATCCTTATCCCTATTTTACAGATAAGGAAACTCAGACTCAGAAAAGTTTAAATAACTTACTCAGGGTAACAAAGCTAGTCTAGAAAGTGCTAAGGATGAGATTCACATTCATGTCTGACACTAAAGCATAAACTCTTTCATTGTATGGCCTTCTTTCCAGTCTACTGAAAACCTAAGAACCTGAAAGCTCATCACCTCTTGGGATTATCTATGGCTCTTCTGGAGTTATTTAGCCTTTTATCTTCACACAGATTATAATTATAAATGAGAAAAGCATAATATTTATGCACAAGAAAAAATAGTATATTACACTGCCTCTCATTATTTACTTTTTGAAACTCCTTTGCACACATTAACTCATTCATTCCATTTTCATAACAAACCTCTGAAATAGGGTTGTGTACAATAGGAAACTAAGGCACAGGAAAGTTATGACTTTTCCAAGCTTATTCAT